TCACGGTGGTATTACCATAGTCAAAATATCCTCAAACCTAGATTCAAAATCTGAATAGAGGGCATTTAAATGTTGAACGTAGGTTGAAACGTCGTCTTCCTGGCAGCTTGTCTGTGACAAATTGGGGAACTGAGAAAATTCGCCCGATCCAATATTTTGCTTCATTAGTTTAACTCTGGAGAGAAACGCTGATAAGATGGACTTTGTTTTAATCAAATTTAAACTGTCACCTTGTAATTGCAAATTAACCATATTAAATTTTGTAAACAAATCTGATAAATAGGCGATGTCTGTTTTCCACTTCATTAAATTTTCATTTAAAATTTTATCTTTAGTATCCAGAAATTCTAAAATAGTCTCAAAAAGTGCAAAAAATCTTGTCAAACATAAGCCTTTGGACAGCCAGCGTACTTCAGTGTGAAGGAGTCATTGATGAAAGTGTTCGTCATTTTCTTCACACAACTGCGCAAATAACCGCGTATTCAACGCGTTGCTTCGGATTCGGTTTACTGCATCAATGAATAAATGAAGTGATTCATGCAATCTAACACTCAAATGTTGTCGATGGATGACGCAATGTATTGCTAACACCCCTGACACATTTTGTTTTAATTAGCTTATAAATCCACGATAACGTCCAACCATGGCAGGTGTTCCGTCTGTAGCTACTGATATTACATTTGATAAAGGAATTGCTTTTTCAATGAAGTAATCCTTCAAAACATGAAATATTGATTCACCTTTAGTGTCGGTTATCAAAGTTCTTGCGAAGAGCAGTTCTTCGTAGATTTCTTGATTCATAATAAAACGAACATATGCCAATAATAATGCTGCATTATCAGGTAAAGTTGACTCGTCCAGTTTTATAGAGAAATGGGTCGTTTGCAAATAATTACATAAGAAGCTCTCAATATCAGAACTCATTTCATCAATCGTCTTTCAACAGTATTGTTGCTTAAGGGAATTCTTTTAATGATATCAGATGCCGGTTTGTGTAAAACAGTTTTTAAAACCTCTTCAATGGCTGGCAACATTAACTTCTCTCCGATACTATGCGGTTTTCCGGATTTTGCTATCATTTCTTTGTGACGTCGAAGCGAACATTCTGTCCAGTGTAGGTCTCTTCTGAAATGTATCTTTGAGTGTTTGAAAGTTTTTCAAATCGTTCTCTGTTTTATCAGGGTGGCATCTTCTCAGATGATCTTGCAGTTTAAATGGTTTCATAGCGTCATTGTCCAAAACTTTGTTGCATAAAAGGCACATAGGCGATTGTTTGTCCCGCAATGATGGAATGAAGCCAAATTTCAAATAATCAACACTGTACTGTCTACATTTCTTTTTAGATTCGGACATGGCATCAGTCATCTGTGGGCAAAATTAAATTATTTAAATAAGAGAGAAAATCCAGCAGCTGTATATTAAAAATATTTTTTGATTATTCCGAAAACATTCCATAATTCGAACATCTTCTTGCAACAATTAGCTCGAATTACGGAGATTGCACTGTAATTATATTACCGATTGCTAAAACTTTCAAAAAGAAACTATTGAGGAGTACTCGTGTAATTTTGCATGATTGAATATTTAACTACTAATAACTAAAGTCATGATTGGCGTAATTTATCTATCTTTGCTAACTACGAGTATAAAACTAAAATTTAATAAAAAATAATGTACTAATTTGTGTGATATACTACCTGTTTATATTTTTTAAAATATTTTCTTAGCACTTTCCTTTTCAAGATTCAGGAAACGAATAAACGTATTTGTCCCACATTCGTATTTATAGAGTGACGAATTGAACAAGTCAGTGCAAGGTAGCGAAGCTCTGAGACTGCGACTCTCAGGTTTTTACAAGTTCAAAATGTATTGCGACCACAAAGCGAATACCAACATCCTACAACTTACACAATTTTATAAACATGTATAATAAATTTTTGACTTCATAGGTACTTTTATAAATATTGTATATGTTTTGATATTATAAGATAGTATGATGTAAGTAAATAGGTACTATCAGTGTATGTGTTGAGATCCACTATCATGGACCCCTATATTCATTTCATGGACCCCCAAATTTTTTTTCGCTGACGTAGACCCCTTGCAGGTTGTCATAGACCCCTAGGGGTCGATATAGACCACTTTGGGAATCAATGCACTACACGATACACTTTCATTTTGTTCTGTTGAAAAAATGTGTATGAAGGAAATCAAGATCATACACGATAAACATTTATAACTGGCCACTGACAACTGAGCTGTGATCTTCATGGCATTCCGGCGGCACAGCGGCGGAAGGTTGACGACTATGTTATTTCTACTTCTACTTCCCACGCCAACTGGCGAATAAGTATTGTAATTGCGAAAAATTTCGAAAATGAGATATATTTTTTGGACGTGTATGACATGTACGAGATCACGCGCTTACCGGGCATCACGGGGTTTTAATCATTGACAGTCGATCTTAGTGATTTATAAAAGCAGGTAGCAGCCGGCGCGGCTATAAACGCGCTGTATGCGATATTATCTATACAGGGTGCTCCTTAATGATATGCGAATATTTAAGAGTGTGAATCTACATGAAAAATTATTGTTAGTTTGTTTCCTTACAAAAACTCGGGGTGTTGAAGTTTTAGGAAAAAAATGGAAATTAATTAGTATCTTCAGAAGCGCTTCAGATATTTCACTGATATTTAGTACGTAGTGAGAGTTAATAAAGTTGCAATTTTTCGATGCAAAAATAATTTAGGGGTATTGACTTCGATATTTTTTAAGAAAATAATGGTACGCCAACGGTTTTTTGCCAAATAAAAAATATTTTTGAATTCCCCGTTCAATTTAGAACAAATAATTCCTCTTGAATTGTTTTCCTTTGATGCGCGATTTTTGAGTAAAAAAAAAAGTTCTATTTCTCTAACTTGCAAAATTATTATTAATTTAATTGGAAAAATTAAATACATTAGGGGTAATGAACAACAACAACTGACAACATAAACATGACATTAAAACCAACGAAATGATTAAAAAAATTGTTGAAAATGGCCTCCTTCACTTAGTATGCATGCTTCCGCACTCCTTCTCATAGAATTGCGCACTCGTTGAAGTATCCCTGGAGTGTTTTTTATTCTATCACAAGCTGCAAATATTCTTTCTCTTAATTCCTCTACAGTGTTAATGAGACTTGTGTACACTAGTGTCTTAAGATAGACCCACAAAAGAAATCTAAACTGTTGAAGTCTGGGGACCTTGGTGGCCATTCTTGGGGCCCACCGCGGCCAATCCAACGATTTGGATAAACAGTTTGTAAATAATTACGAACCGCTACACTGAAATGCGCTGGTGCACTATCATGCATGTACCACATATTGTTTCTTATTACTAACGGAACATCATCAAGCAGCAAAGGCAACTGTTGTTGAAGAAAATTGAGGTAAGTCTGCCCGTCAAGTCGACTCTGCAAGAAGAATGGGCCAATAAAGTGGTGGCCAATAATTCCTGCCTATACGTTAACCGAAAATTGGTGTTGGAAATGGGTTTTGGTTACGACATAGGGATTTTATTCTGCCCACAAATGATTATTGTGGAAATTCTGAATGGCATTTCCAGAAAAATTAGCTTCGTCCGTGAACGGAATCATTGATTCGAATTGCGGATTTTGTGTAATTTTTGGAGATACCACTGACAAAAGGTCACACGCCTTGGAAAATCAATGGGAAGTAATGCCTGTACTCTTAAAATATGGTAAGGATATAACAAAAAATCCACTAAAATTCTCCAAACAATTTTATGGCAAATATTTAAGTGTCTAGCGATCTTCCTCGTACTCGTTTCAGGATGTCCTTCGTCTTCGTGCAGCACTGCTTCCTCAATTTGAGGGGTTCTCACACTTCGAGGTCTACCTTCAGATGTTCCTTTTCGCACAGAACCAGTTTCAATAAGACGATGATAAGTATTAGAGAAGGTTCGACTATCTGGCAAAGCACAGTCGGGATATCTCTGTTGATAAATCCATCTGGCTTGCTCACCATACCGTCGGCAAGGCCATATACGAATTGCATTTCCGCTATTTCTGCATTTGAATAATTCACCATTATTAACAAGATTGTAAAAACTAAATAATGAAAAAGATGTCACTGCGAACAGATTTGAATAACAGAGACTTGTCAGATGTCAAAAGCCAGTGACATATTCCAGAGCAACTAGATATTTATTGCTAAATTGCATTTTTCAATTATTACATTAATTTTCTCGGACAATAGAAGGGTTTTTATTTTTTTACTCAAAAATGGCCCATCGAAGGAAAACAATTCAAAAGAGATCATTTGTTTTAAATTGAACGGGGAATTCAAAAATAATTTGTATTTGGCAAAAAACCATTGGCGTACCATTTTTTCTTAAAAAATATCGAAGTCAATATCCGTACGCACGCCACTGTTAAAGCTAAAAATTATTTTTGCATCGAAAAATATGCAGCTTTATTAACTTTCACTACGTACTAAATATTAGTGAAATATCTGAAGCAGTTCTCAAAATATTAATTAATTTTCATTTTTTCCTAAAACTTCAACACCCCGAGCTTTTGTAAGTAAACTTTTTTGGACCATAGTTTATAAAGCAAATTAACATTAATTTTTCATGTATTCGCATATCATTAAGGAGCACCCTGTATATGTATATGAGCGTTATGTTTAGAGTGTGATTTAATGAGGATACTCTATTTGGTGAGGTGATATTATATAGTATATACAGAGTATTTTAAATTCGACCCTTACGATTGGGATTTCGGAAGCTGTAAGAGACACGAAGTCGCTTAAGTAAGGGCAAAGTTGGGTATTTAGGTGATTTCTACCTGATGGAATATGTTTTCATGAAAACCCCAAATGGTGCATTAATGGTTCTGACAACACCCATCTCTTTCCTGCCATATGGAAAATTGTAGTAGACGTTGTTTTAGAGGCGTGGGAAGTATAGTCATTTTACTTGATACCATTTTTTTGTTATTTCAGGATGGTGTTGGTCCTGAATGGTGTTCTGCAGGAAGAATGTCCTGCGGATTCGAGAGCCCTCTACCACACGCATCCTGTGTATATGGAGACAGCGGCTCAACTGCTGGCGGTCCCTAATAAAATTGTTGGTCCTGTAGGGTTGCTGTATGTTCAGCAGAGAGAGTTAGCTGCAACGGTACCACACGACAGTAAGTTTCATATTTATGAAGGACTTGGGACAATAAGGTATCTAAGCCAAGTTTGAATAATAGACGGAAGTTCATCTAAATGCATCCGTGGTGTAAGTAGGTGTATCTATGTCCGAGTTGATTTTTTTGACAATTCGCTGGTAGATGTCGCTATAATTTCTAAATGGTGTTTTTGAGCCACCACGATATCCTACACGTATTCATGTCAAATAAAGTCACAAATTCCAAGATGGGCGCCAAGCGCAACTAGTAGATGGCGAAAACTAGGTTTGTTTCAATGATACAGAGAACAAAGATGCATTTGGATTTGGGTCAGATGACAGTACGAAAGATATACACTATCCGCCGACTGATTGCAGTCACTGATAGTAACAGTGAGCGAATTATGGTTTTCGGCTCAAAAAACAAAAAAACATAGATCGAAACTGGATTGGCACAGCACTAAAATACATAAAGCATGTGAATTCATTATGTAGTGTATTATATTGCATTTTGAAGTAGTTTTATCTGCATAGGCAAATAATGTTTACTTCACTAAACCTGAAACTGTGAGAAATATTGATTATGTCAGTTATAGTGACCTTATATATATAGCACCGCTCTATCATATAGTGCACAAAGCAAATTACAGCGTATTCAGAATTTGTGCGTAATACGAGTCTTATCATATTTCTCATAAATTTAAGGAGCTTTTTATTCTGCAGATTAAAGCCATGCAAAAAATGGACTTATTGACACCCACACACATAAGAGGTTAGCCACCAATCAACCACATATTTGCATATAAAGTTAGCACGTTGTAGCGACATAAATCAACTAAATTCCAGGAATAGAAAGATGTTAGTGGGGACTCTTACATTCTAAATCTGTCTACAAAAAAAATCATTTACCTCCAACGCTATTAAATTATATAAAATTCTGGAAATGTGGATTTTTCTTGTAATTGTTTATATTTTTTGGGATTGTTAATTGACTAGTTATAACTGAGTAATATGCATACATTTTTATTAGTTTAGTATTATATTTTATTTGTTTCCACTTCGCCTTTTCGTATTTTTATACGAAATATAGCCCTTTTATTATTATTATTATTTATGGAAAAGAAAAGTAAACTAGTCAGCATGCACTGAGACACACCAAGCTGAAGTTTCATTAACAACTAGCCACTCCTCACACCGTGAGGTAAGCAACTATACTAAGTGACATATAAATCCGAACACCCAGTTTAAATGGTTTTATTTTAATAAAATTTTGTTTAAGTACTTAATGAAGCATAATAAGTAAATGATAAAAATTTCAAAATGATTGCACTGCTTTAAAGCCCTTTGACGTTTAATAATGTGTGGATGCACCCTGATGTGCTACGCATTCTCCAACGCGCCTAGGCATGCTTCTGATCAGGTGGTCAATGTCCTCCTGTGGTATCTCATTCCAGGCAACCACCAACTCCTCTCGAAGTGCTTCTAGAGTCTGAGGAGGACGTTGCAAATTGAGCAATCCTACCCATCATATCCCACACGTGCTCAATTGGGGATAAGTCGGGAGATCTTGGTGGCCATGGTTACAATGTGACATCATTATGTTGAAAGAAGTCTATTGTGACTCTTGCAACATGTGGTCGGGCATTATCTTGTTGGAAAGTTGGATCTGCCAGGGTGTCAAGATAGGGTAAAAGATGGGGTTCTAGAACTTCGTGGATATAACGCTGCGCGTTCATGTTACCTCTGATGGAGATTAAAGGTGACCTGGAACCATAAGCTATAGCACCCAAAACCATAACTCCAACAGTGTGATGAACATGTCTTTCAACAAAAAACTGTGGATTCCTCCTTTCACCACGTCGCCTTCTAACCCTGGCAGGACCATCGTGCATGCCTAAACAAAATCGAGACTCCTCACTAAGGACAATACTGTTCCATTCCTGATCCCAGAGTGACCGTTGTCTGCACCACTCAAGGCGATTACTTTCTTGTTCTCGAGTTAAAGGGAGGACCCAGTGTGGTCGGTATGAAAACAAGCCAAAACTTCTCATTCGTCGGTAAACACTTCGCATGCCAATAGGTCTTCCGTGTTCTGCAAACCATTCATTTGCAATGGACCTGGTAGTGGAGAAACGGTCCCTTAAGGCCAATAATCTTAGGCGGCGATCTTCACGGTCTGTTGTTCTACGGCGGCGTCCAGTGCCCTTGCTCTTTGCGTACGGCCTTCTCGAAGCCATGCTTGACAACACCTAACCACAGTATCTACACTTCTTTGCACTCTAACTGCAATTGCCCGAAAAGAAAGTCCAGCTTCCCGAAGTCCCACTATACGGCCCCTATCAAACTCACTAAGTTGACAAAATCGTACAGGTATCCGTACTCTAGGTATCGTAACCGATCATAAAGGATGTCAAGAACCAGAATCCGCCAACGTTGATTCTTTACTGCGGCTGAAATATTCATTTTTAGAGCGTTAGTGAATTAAAAAAAAGCAGTATAAAAACCGGAATGTCCAACTGATAAGGCTGAAAATTTTTTCACTTGTTATTTATAGTAAGATTAATACATTCACACTTTTATTAAAATAAAACCATTTAAACTGGGTGTTCGGATTTATATGTCACTTAGTATAGTTGGTCCGCAAATCGTGTGCCCTAAGTAGATAGAGAGAACCGAGGATGACCACTTTCTGCATTCTTATGGTTAAGATGCTAGCCGATGCTCGGCATACCGATGTGGATTTAATTGCAGATAGCAGTGTTACCCTCAACCCACACAAAGATCCAATGACCATGAATAACAGACTGGCAGTGAGGACTGCGAAGCTGGCGGATATTTGGTCCATTTTTCCTCCTCCTTCGAGATGATGTTTACTTCGGCCGGAGCCAAAAATTCAATAAAGAACATCACCTTCCGTTCGTGGTTGAGAAGGGCTATGTCGGGCTTATTCGCCTACACCAGCTTGAGCGTAGGCAACGAGTAATTCCAGTAAATCCGGCATTTCTCGTTATCCACAGCGGGCTCAATATCCCCTGGAGCATAGCGCAGCACAGGTGTTTTATCTACAGGGTTTGTCCGGAAACTAATAGGACTTCGATCACTAAGATCTCCAGGTGGAACTACGGTGTCGCTTTTCCTCTCAGCGAGTCTTGGCGGTGATCTTTCAGCCTATGTGATACATCCCTCATACAGTAAAAGTGCCTAAACCAGGGTCCAATGGCTGGTTGAACAAATCGTGACACTGATCACCAGCAAAAGACACACAGAACCTTGTTACAAAACTCCACCGCAGAAAACAGACAAGCCGACGTCGAGTCTAGAAACAAATATGACGAAGCGGTTCTCAATGCCAAAGACCAGCACGATATAAAAGTTAGGCACAGGGTAATGTCGCAGCACAATAGCAGTCGGTCTTTCTGGACGCAGGCCAAGCAGATTCGAAGGAATTTCTTAAATAGTAGCCTTTCACCGCTTACGTGTCAGGATGGAACGATTGTAACCAACTCAAAGGCTAAGGCGGAAGTGCTTGCCAAGATCCTAGCTGCCAACTCCACCATGAACGTCCAAGTGCCGTTGATTCAAAGAGTTCCCTACACTATGCAGAAAGTAATATTCAGGCATAAGACCGTAAGACGTGTGCTCTTGTCGCTCGACATCAACAAAGCTTCTGGTCTGGACTTGATTCCTGTCATTGTTTTGAAGAGGTGCATATCGGAGCTTGCTCCAGTTCTTTCGCGTCTCTTTCAGATCTTATGAATCCGGCAGCTTCCCAGAAAACTGGAAATTTGGTCATGTCCAACCAATCCCAAAAAGAGGATCTAAGACCGACCCTTACAACTGCAGGCCAACAACTCTGTTTTCTGTTATAAGTAAGGTGGTTTCCGGCGATCCACAGGGGACCTCCTAGCTTTAGTCACGCAATTGTGGAGTAAACTCATCCAGTCTTATGGTGAGGTTCATGACGTTGCTCTTGATATCACGAAAGCGTTCGATCAACTGTGGCATGCGAGCTTTTATCCTATGGCCTGCCGGAAAAGTTTTGCAGATTTGTAGCTGATTTTCTCTCTGGCTTCAAGATATCCGTCGTAATTGACGGGTTCTCCTCTTTGTCCCACAACGTCAACGCGGGTGGTCCTCCAGGGATCGGTCTTGGCTCCTACACTATTCCCCTTATATTTTTTCCTGTACGAGCAACGAATCCACAGCTTTGCTGATGACAGCACTCTACACGCAAGCATTCAGAGCGACAAGCCGATCTTGCCGCCGAGCTGAAAAAAAGAAAGGTAGCGACGACTTCCTCTTTGACGAGAGTCCTGGAGGTTATTACTGCTTGGGAACGCTACAAACTTGTACAATTTAATGCTTCCAAAACACAGTACTGTACCTTGACGAACAAAAAGCGTCCTAGTGCTCATCCGGTTCCGATGGATGGCCGAATTTTGCCACAAAGCCGTTTATTTCGGCTGGTCGGAGTCCGGATCACCGAGGACTTGATCTTGCACGGACACGTCTTGTTAATAGCAATAGCTGCTGGGAAAACCCTAAGCTATTTGCTTAATGCTAGGAAGTACTTTTCTCCGCACGACCTTCTCACTCTATACAAGGCCCAGATAAGGCCTAGCCTGGAGTATTGCTCACACGCTTGGGATGTTGCCACCCCGACCACATTATTTATACTCGATGCTGTCGAGAGGAGGGTTGTCCAACTGATCGATGACTCTTCTCTAACGGACAGTCTCGGCACTCTTTCCCACCGGCGGGCCATAGGCGATCTAGCTCTCCTCTACCGCTACACCAACAAACCGTGCTCCTCAGAGCTCTCCTCCATAATGCCGCCGCGCGATGTGCCTGCCACACAGACCCGCCTAACTTTGGTCTCTCATCCTAACCGTGTCGAACTTCGTACATACTGAACTGGACGACACGACCGCTGTTTTATCTCGAGGAACAATCCACAAGAGGAAGCTTTGCCCAGTTCTACTAGCCTTAGGCAGTTCAAAAATCGGATTAACAACATTTTTTGGGGATCTTCATTGCAGCCGCGGTGTCCTGATCTGCCTATTTATCAGAATATATCGTAATCCTCATTGTGAACTACTATCACACACTGCAAGTAACTTTAATACGTATCACTAATAATATATAATTTTGTAATGAGCTTCTTGACCAAATACATTTATATATATATATATATATATATTTGGCTTGTGACCTTCTTCAGTCTTCAGGGACATTTATAATTTTTTCGCATGTGATCTGCTACGAAAAAGAACTTTCACTAGGAAAGAGGTACGACAAATTTGATGAAATGTGCTGTTTCAAGTTTAACATTGAACACCCATTTGAGGCGTGTTTTACCAAAGCGACATATGTCCAAAATACAAAATTGTCAGGAAACAGAAAAGAAGGATTTATTTCAAAACTAATAATTTTCTTGAATACTTTTTTGTTAATTACTATTAATAATAGTTTAAAAAATATGCTCTTCACTAAATATGTGTGCTTAAGTAATCAAAAACATCCTTTTTTGTACTAGATGGTGTCACTAACTCAATTTCGTTAAATTTGGACTTATGTTTTTGTAAAACACGCCTCAATTATATATATATCTATATATTATAACACGAACCATTTTCAAATTACTCTTGGAGTACTACCTTCTTTTCACTAAAATGCAACAAGTCAGAGTATTCTCAAAAATGAATTTATTTCACGAAAATGAATGAAAAATCTTTATTCTGTTATCAACGAATCGTTCTTCCTCAAAATGTAAGCACATTATAGCATTTCAATCGAATTAATCAAGGAACGTGATATTAGGATTTCATAAAACTTGTAACTTTAGATTTCTCGAAAAAATCGATGTGGCTTAGGTACCTTTTTGCCCCGAGCCCTCCACATTATTTATTTTTCCACCTATTTCTTGGGTACCTAAATCGGATGAGAAGGCTCACGACTTTGATGGCAGTTTTTCGCTGAGATCAACGTATAGTATTATAAATGGCCAGTGGAATAATTGTTGGTAAAATATTGACAATAATAACATCAACATTTTATCGAATATACAGTTCTTTGCAAACTTCTCCTATGTATAAAACCAGACGTGGACTCTGTTTCAAGTAACTGTATCCGCGGCTCAAGGTATTTTTTCATTGCTAGTTGAATTTTGCATTATAACAGTACTTGCTCCTCTTCGCGGCGAATTTGTCCAATTCAATTAGTTCTGTTATTTTCGAAATTATCTCCGTACCTAACCGTGACCAATCACTTGGAAATTATAGCATACCAAGCTGCGAGATATGCATATACCTACTCACGGCCTTTTCTAAGTCTAGGAAGTTTTTCAATTATGCTGGAAGCATAGTTCACTAGCCTTCAATGATGTAATGTTTCTGCATAGACAGAACAAAAATACGGATAGACTGGCAGAAATTGGTGACATGATAGGACCTAGGGCATTGAAAATAGAAAACTTCTAAGTTTCTTTTTCATTTGTTCCAGAAAATGTCAGCATACTTGGAGCAGATGACGTGACGACGTGTCTGATAGTCGTGGTAAGGCATTCAGGTATGTGAGTTTACAATAATGATATAGAAAATCAGCTTCTTAAATGCTATCTCTATTGCTACGTTCTAAAATACCATATTCCTTCTTATTACAAAGCAGATTTAGACGTAAAAATTGTGCGAAATGAAAACGAATCTAACCTTATTGTCGCCTCTCTTCAATTTAAACAAATACCACCATCTATTTATTAGAATATTTGGTTTAAACCTCGATATATCTGTGGTTTCAGTCGTATTCATTATATATAGAAATAACAATACTTCCGTAAAAACATACTTAATAATGTATAGTACAACTTTCATAATATAATATTCCCACCGTTAGTTATAAAAAATTAAGTTTTGTTCAATCCGTCAGTCCGTTGTGTGTTGTTCAAATATAAAATTCTCGCCAAATATCACCGACTCGAGATTGCATTCCTGTTAAATTTTAACGTCGATAGTGACAAAAGCTACAGACCGTGCCATTTGACAGCTGCCCATACTAAACCAGTGCTGTGTCGTGGTTACTGAGAATACGGGTGCAGATCCAGTCAAAATATCAGTACTGTTGTTAGGCGATGTTTCTTTACAAACTTCAGTTTTATTTTGATTCATATTTAGTTAACTATAATATGTTAAAATATAGTTTTTTGATATTCGAAAGTAAAAAACAAACAGAATTTGTCTAAAGAATATATATTAAAGAAGAAAAGAAAACCCGAATTAAAAGCGATTACATTAAATAAGCAAAGAAAACAAAGGTTACAATACTTAAAAAAGAAAAAGGGCAAATAAAACCTTTGGAGCAACGGGCAACTAGAAAAAATGGAAAAAATCAAGATACAGACACAAGAGCTACTGTTCAAACATACTCTTAATTTTATACATCAGAATACTCTAAATACTGAGAACGAAATACAACCAGTTTCTGAAGGAAATAGACCTATTGTTAGCGCACACCAAAAAGCGAAAGAATCAGAATAGAATAGCGAAAGACAGTGGAAGTCTAGAAGTAAGAAATTAAAAAAACTCTGAACTCAACTAAATGCTCATCCCCAAAAATATAGACGAGCTGAAAAGCAATTAAAGAGAATTATATCTGTATTTATATCTGTCGAAAAATCGCAAAAATATTCATATAGGTATTTTAGCGATAATTGGTTAGTAGGAGTACGTACCATTTTATCGTTCCGCGATTCTTTTGTAAATGGTGACTTGACTGTTTTTATATCAACACATATATTTTTCTGAATTTTATGATACTTAAATATACCGCCCATTTCCTCTAACCTTTAATTTGTGTTACCCCGTCTATGATGGTTCTATGAATATTTCATCAAGTAGATTAACTCAGTGCTTATGACGCATTGATATACAACAGTCACGGACTGACAAACCGGACTTGTGTGATGCAGATATCTTGGAACAACTGGAAACTTGTTAAACTGAGCGGGAGTATGAATATTATCGCAAGTTTCATACTTCCATCGTTTAGGTCGTATATTTTTAAAATGATTCAGAGCCGGTGGAAATAAATTCGCTGAAAAATAGAGTTACAACGTTTCAGAGATTCCTGCTCATTTTAATACATTGTTTGGAGATCCTCTCAATTTTCAACCGAAAATTGTAGGTTGGAAGCTAGCTGCATGCGGTAAATGGTTGTAAATCGTTGCATATTTGGTGGCAGTGAAAGACCTTCTATTATTAAGAAACTGCCGATCTCACTGATACTATACACATGTTAGTCATAATAAGTCACACATATTTTCCCTACATCTGCCATAAAAACAGAAATATGATATATTTGCTTTATATGGTTTGATGTTTAGACGTTGAAGGTTCATCTTACCTAAGTGAACCTAGCTTCGATTTCGCATATCATCCATCCCTTTTCTTTGAACCTGCCAACGAAAGCGTAGGAAGTATCGAGGCATTCTACTTGACGCCATTTTTCCAGTTAAAGAAACAAAAAAAAAGTGTATTTCAGCAATTTGTTGCAGTATCAAAATATCATAATCTCTTATTGCTACGCCTCCAATTTTGTGCGGTTGATACTTCAACTCCAACAACTTCTTGGCCCAACTGCATTTAGCAAATTAATATTGTTTGAAGACAAAGTACTACTTGATAATGATGGAAACTATTTTCAATTCCGTATACAGAGAAATGCCATATATTTTCAAATTCATGTTTGACCCTCTTTTATTCCTTTTCCTTTCCTCAATACCACCATGATACACACGACTCGCACGAAGATCGGTGCGTGTAAAAATAACGTTAAAATAATGTAACTACTAATTTCGTGGCCGCTTACTCTGTAATTAGTTTAGGTGTAACCGACCATTAATGCTTGGAACTTTATCTTTGAATCGCTACACCAGACCACCACTTTTATTATGTTTTATTGGGATACATGAGAATATTCGCAGTGTAAGAATGACAAAATGGGAGATGGGAGGGAGTAACATATACAATGAAATTCCAGCAAAATAATTTTAGTTAGCGGTAAAAACTTGGACATATCTAATTATAGGATAGATATGAAGAAACAAGTGCAAAAAAACTGATTTAATTAAAATAATTAAGTTAGGTAGATCAACTCGGTACTGTCCAAGCAGTAATGATAAGTGAAACATGAATTCAAAAATGTTTCTCACTATTTTTTTTATTCCGCTATAAATGATAAGAAGATTAACAGACGTCGAAAAGTGAACTGCGTTTTTAAACACTGTAACCCCCTTTTTACTATACCCAAAATCCTCCAGAAGCCTGTAATGTATTCAGTGACAATACTGCATTGATTTATGTGCGTGGAAAGTGGCACTGCCTATATGACCATATACAAGCATACATGTGAATATAGCGCCATCTATGAGACACTAAACTTTTTGGGCGCGCGATTATACCATTAGGTTGGCTATCTTCAGGTCGAATTGATTATTCAATGCCAAAGATTACATTTTATAAACAAATCGTTGCACAATGTTTAGAGAGGCATATTAGTTAATCCCTTAATGAATGTAAAACTTAATTATTTCCTGCTCACTACAAAGCATCACTATATCAACACTGACGTCAATCATGACATTAACGCATTTCGAGCGCGAAATTCATGATTCATATCCATAATTAATGTATATGGATGCTACGAGATACCAAATCAGTGCCATATGTCAAAAGCAGATCTTAACTATACCAGTCATGCAGCAAACTCGGTAACAATAGACTGGGTACTACGACTGTCTGTGCATCTTCAAAGAACATACAAGACACGAAATTATGTGAACTGGCGACTAGAATCGTTTGTTATTGCGAATAAACGTATCAAGATCTAGGAGGCATTCTTCAGGATATGTTTTTGGATTGTTAATCATATATGCATCCCATGCAGCTGCTTGTGTTAAGATAAGCGCTATTGCTCAGGTACATTGAGTCATAATAAATGAAGATATGTTTTTTGGTTGCTTTTATTCTAGCGTTTTTTGCAGTCTCGATTGCAAAGTCATTTTTAAATTATCTTTACTTAAATGATATTTGTGCGTCTTCAACAGGGTGTCCAAGGACATAGAAGTACCATTTTTAGACACAAAGTAAGTCGTTTGGACATGATTTACCTCTATGTAAAAGTGCTTTGTTTGTCGATTAGGGGGCGTCAAAGTTTTCTTTTTGAAACACATTTTTAAGATATTCAAATGAACCAATAGTTCGATGTGAATGAAATTTGAACACATACAGCGTTTTCATTTGAAAACTTCCCACCATGGATTTATCGAAAGCCACTTATTCAAAAAAAAACACCGAGACACGTCAAAAGATTTGTCAAGGGAGACAACTTTTTAACCAAAAACTACTTCAATGACAGGGGGTATATTGAGTAACAGCTTGTTTGAAAGGTCTTTCGAAGTCCTATAAGAAAATTAGAAAAATCTTCATTTATCTTAGTTTATTCAGATAGAAGACAGAAACACAAGAAAATATCACTTTTTATTTCAATAAGTGGTCAAAATGTTGCCCGTTATTAGCCAGGTAATGATATAGGCGATGTTCAAATTACTGACGGACATTTTCAAAAAACATGTTGTGGGATATCATGGCAGCTTTCAATGACGCGTTGACGAAGTTCAACTTTTATTCTAATCGTATTAACAAACTTTCATAAAATAATTGTAAAGTCTGGTTTTATTGGTGCAAGTTCCTCAAGGCGGTATTTAAAACATGGACGCATAAAATGGGTACACCAATATTTGTGGGAAAACTTTTTATTTGACAACAAAGAATGAGAAAACGTGTTTTCTGGGATTCAATCGAAAGTGTTTACAGGTACGCAAAAACTGTTCATATAAGATTTTTACTATTTATGAGACCTACAAAATGAGACTACACGTAAAAAGATCCGACTAATTGCAAAAATGTTATGGCTCAAAAACGAGGCAAAATGCAGGTTTTGCCTCTTGTTGGTAATGCGACGATAATTTCACGCAACTACTTGAAACTCTTCAAATCAATAGAATTCATACTTCTAAATAACGACAAAAAAAGTTGGACTATATTGGTCCAGTAGTTTCTTGAGAATTTGTTTATCTCAAAACACCTGTCTTCCGGCCATCACTACTAGTTTATTAAGTAATATACAAGGTTCGTTCAACGATCATTTAATAGCAAAATACACGTATTTACCTTGCCAATATAAATCAGAAACCATTCCGAAAGATAAATGTTTTATTTTTCTGCGAAAATCGAAGGTTACGTTTTTTTCTTCTAAACAAATTCAATCATTTCGTATTTGTGAGTAATTGAACAAATGCGCTACGATATTCGAAAAACAAACATTACTATACACATTTAAAAACAAAGTGGGTGTGTCGGTCATCTTTTGTTGGGAATTACTCACAAATACGAAGTGTTTGAATTTATTTAAAAGAAAAAACGTAACCCATCCTTTTTTGCATAAAAATAACATTCATCTTCCGGAATGGTTCGCGATTCATATTGGCAAGCTAAACTAGTGTACTTTGCTATAAAAAACCCTTTGAACTAACCATGCATATTGCTCAATAAACTAGTAGTGATGGCCGGTAAACAGCTGTTTTGGGATAAACAATTAGAAATTCTCAAAAACTACTTGACCAATCTACTCCAATTTTGTTGTGGTTATTTAGAAGTATGATCATACGATCGAAGAATTTCAAGCAACTGCGAGTTACCATCGTCGCATTACCAACAAGTGCCAAACTCTGCAGTTTGCTTCGGTTTTGGGCCATAACTTTTTTGCTGTTAGTCGTATCTTTTTACATGTAGTCTTATTTTGTAGGCCTCTTAAATACCTAAAAATTTTATACGAAGATTGTTTTCTTTCCTGTCACTACCTTCGATTGATCCCAAAAAATACGTTTTCTCATTCTTGGTTGTCGAATAAAAAGTTTTCCCACAAAAATTGGTGTACACATTTTATATGTCCATGTTTTAAATATCCCCTTGAACAACTTACAGCAATCAAACCTGACTTTGCAATTATTTCGCAAGCCAGTGGTATGTTCGTCTAGTATGATTAGACGATTTCAGGTTGGGGAGTAAACACAATAGATTTCCAAGGGCCCCATAAAAAAAGTCTAATGGCGTCAAATCAGGAGATCTAGCAGGCCATTCTATAGGCCTCTTATCTGGAAACTCGTCGTCTAGCCATTTCCGAACTGGAAGAACATAGTGAGGAAGAGCGCCGTCTTTCTGGAAATACATTCCAACCTCATCAAGTATAGGGTTTCCATCATCTTTGATTTGGTTTTCAATGGTTTCACTTATAAGCGGATTGATGGTATTTTCCAACATATCTAAATAAATATCTCCATTCAAATTTCCATTAATAAATAAGGCCCCAATCAATTTCACAAAATAGGGAATGAAATAACAATGGAGCTAAGGAGACGCAAACTCATAAGGCACACAGACATTTATAAACCAGAAAAATAAAAAAAAATAAAGAGCAGAAAAACTAAGATAAAAAACCTTGGCTATCCCTGAACGGCCACCGAGGGCCGGAAGTCCCAGATGTTACTTTAAAACCCGAGGGTGGAACCCAAAGGTAGAACCGAATGGTAAAACTAGATGGCAAAACCCTCGAACTATGAGGGTTCACCAAAAATGGGGAACTGCTCCTCCCCGGCGTGAGTTCCACTCAAATTCGCCTTGGACTAACCCTGCAGGCAGCTCCCCTCAGCTCGATGGTTGAGTGTAGTTATCTACACACTTAAATGCCCAAAAGGGTGAGAAAAGGTTCCGACAAAAAAAATACCTAGTGGGCCGATTTCTAATAAAAACCACCCCACCACCCTATAAACCCGCAACTCAGCCTGTGAATCTATCAAAAAATCGAGTGGTGGGCCGTAGAATTTTTACAACCGACCACTGGACATAGCAGCAACTCACCTTCAGCTCTCCTATTTGCGGTCGACAGAAATTATAAAAATGACCTCCAACCAGATGGAGAGTAGAGTATTATTTTCTACCACAAAATTATTAGACTTGTTTTACGACCATAAAAAGAAACTGTAACACCATGTAAAACGTATTGTAGAAAATAAAAACAACTTCCTGCGTTTATCAGGCAAACTATATAGATCATCCAACTGTTAATTCTTAATTCCCATTGAAAATATCTTTCTGAAACTGCATGCAGATTTTCTTCAGCGTAAACATGTTCATTATGCAAATTTATCACACCACGTCGGGTAAAACATGACTTATCTGTAAACAAAACTTTCTTGTGAAATGACCCATCAGGTGCTCTGCGATCTGATACATTTTGTACACATCTCAAACGTGAGTGATGGCCAGTAGGCTTTGATCGGCTGAACGTGAAACTAACGAAGGAGATGTTCATTTAAAATCCGGTTAACAGTGCGTTTTTGAACCCCTTGTTCATGTTCTTTCTACGAGTGCTGATACATGGATCAATGCGATGCTCGGATTGACTCTTAGGACCGTATCGTCAGTCGTGCCTACAATTGTAGGATGCTTTTATGACCTTCTTGATTTTCATAGTTTTACCTGTCGTTCAGAAGGGCAGGAGTGTTTCTAGATTTCGTGTAAAGCGTGTTTCGTGTAAGCGCCCTATTTTGAGGTTAATACGCCAGCATTTCTGAAGGCTAGAAAATACTATGAAAATCAAAGAGGTCATAAAAGCGTCCTACAATTGCAGGAACGACTGTCGATACCCTTAGAGTTTGGAATGGAAAAAGTCTTCTATGCTTGCGGAAGTCTGACTATTTGGAATTCGTCGATTCGGATATCTCTCTTTAATACTCGCGAACACTTTTTCTGCAATTACCTTCGCAGAAACCAAGTACTAACAACATATCAGTCTGCTCGTGAAAAGAATATTCCATATTCACAAGAAAAACAAGCAACAACAACTACTTAACCAAAAGTATGCCCAAACGTTGATTAATGTAAAATTTATGAAGAACAAACAACAAATTATCACTCAAAAATTCGAAACATCATTTATTAATTTAAACTTTATGAAGCTTGTTGTCAAAAATAATCTGAAACTGACATAACATCCCACATTTCCGCCAACTACGCATACAATTGTAGGATGCCGTTATGGCCTCCTGGACTTTCATAGTTTTTCCTGTCCTTGAGAAACTAGATTTCTTGTGTTCCGTGTAAGCGCTCTATTTTGCGGTTATGTCTTCTTTTCGAATTTAAGCTGATAAAACTTGATTCATGAGCCTGAAATTTCTTAACATTCAAAAAGTAAACATAACCTCTCAACAGGAGAGCGCTTCCTACAATTGTAGGAACTGGACTGACGATATGGCCCTTAACGTAAAAACTAACTTTTTGCATAGAGATAAATCATATTCAATCGACTTATTTTGAGTCTAAAAACGAGTTGCTTCTATGTTCACAGAACATCGAAAGACCCTGTAGATAATGCGACTGTCTAAGTAGTCTACTTAAACTGACTTTTTTACAGGTTCGGGAGCAGTGGCAATGGCCCACTTAGACGGTTCAGGCACAGACGAGGCTGTTTGCACCATGGTCCAAAGAGTACAAGAATTAGCACTAGGATATCCTGAAGGAAGGATAGAGTTACAACTTATCGGAGGCTTTAATGACCCTAGGCATTACTCGGATGAGATCTTCTTCAATGTGATGAGTAAGTTTCTACCACATTATTCGCTATGTGTAAAGTGGGTGGTTTGGACCGTCAATTTGCTATATTTAATTCAAGTCCACACTAACTTTTTTTTAATACTTTCACTTGATAACGTTCAAATTCTCGAAATGGGTCACAATACATGCTGGCGTCTCGCTGAGAAGTGAAGATAATTTTTTATTGTATAAATTAACTATGACAAAGTTGTTCATGTACAGGGCTCTCCCCACGCTGAGCGAATATGTATTACATGAGATTTATAATATACGAGTAAGTACTAAGATTAGTTTAAATCTACGAAGAATTTCACTTTGCTAAAAGCTCTCTATATATAAGTACATAGAATTTCAAGTAGGTAAGCAATACAATACAAAGTCGTTTGTAAAGGCAAAGTTGCGCATTTAGGTTACTAATAAAATTTACTTAGATAGATTGGCAACTCATAGTGTTTCTGGGGAGACAGAAAATACTAATTTAACCTGAAGCGTTTTCATTTTCTCATGGCTTAATTTGAGCTGCGATTTCAATATAAATTGCATTAACAGTGGAAGTTTATAGAAGTCTTGTACACGTGTTAGTAGATGTGTTAGTTCGTTAGCATGCATATTATACATCCTGAAATGGAATTTTGAACCAATTAACCTTGACCAATTGAGCTGAAATTTTGTATGCCTATCTGGTTCCTGTGCATAATGAATTATCTACCGCCATTTTAGATTTAAAATGAATGCACATATGCAACTACAAAAGTAGATACACATGCTCATACATCCGGATACGGGTGTAACCTGAGGAAACAAAGATGAAGAGGGAGAAAAGTCCACAACAAGAGCCAACCTACACATTGTAGTATAAAATGGCTAGAAGGCGACATCTAGCCACAACCACGCGGCCGGTTATAGCCACTTGCTGTGGTACTCCAAGCCCAAAGGACCTACAAAGAGAAAATAATCATGCAGAGAAATGTATATAACAAAAATAGGAAAATATTTTTTTCCCTCTCCATCTTTGTTTCCTCAGGTTACACCCGTATTCAGATGTATGAGCATGTGTATCTACTTTTGTAGTTACATATCTGCATTCATTTCGGGCCTGATGAAGCCAACCAGCAGAAATACGTATCGCTCGGGTTACCTGTCCTATTTTCTGCTCGAATCCACTTTCCTTCTTTTTGCGAATTCTGCCCATTATTTTCCTAGTTTTGTTATATACATTTCTCAGCATGATTATTTTCTCTCTCTCTCTCTATATATATATATTAGGGTGTCCCTTATATTGGCGAAAAATTTTTTAAACATAATCAAAAACAAAATTTTATTTATACCTGCGGCAATATTAACCCGTGCCGAGTTTACCTTGAAAATTTTCGAAAATAACTGTTTTCAACTGTTTTAGTTACGTAACTCAATCTGGAGAATTATAATTATTTTTGGAAACAATAGTTAAAAACAAGTCTCAAAAAAGGCCTTTCATTTTGCCGCCAGAATGGAAGGATCAGTTTCCCTGGTAGACACGGGCTTCTCCAGAATACTTCTATCCATTTTCAAACGAAAAAACAGATTTACGCTCCTCGCTGACACAAAATCACCCAATGATTTCCCTGCAACGATTTGTTATCAGCATACATAGTAAGAAAGCAACTGAAAAAAAAACAGCTCAGCAAGAAAAGGTACTTTCACTTACCACACGAATAATTGGACAACTCGTTTTGTGATGGAATGTATCTCTTTCCAAAGTACAACCTCTCTCTTTGAAGGTTCAAAACCATGTTTTTCTTGGTCTGTTGGTCGACTTTCTTATCAAAAAGTGCCAAAATGATGATTTGCTCTGACAAATACCAAAGATGTTGGCTAAAGCTCAGAGCTGCTTTAAGCTTTTTGAAAGCTTAGATCTTGATTTATAGCATTCATAGCCAAACTGCAATGAGGCCACGGTTTTACATACACAGCAGCAATGAATAAATAAACACCTTAAAGTGATTTTTTCTCTCTGGAGCTCATATTAATCTGAGATTGTATTATACACATCTTCAGTGAGTAAGTAGCTCTCGCCATCCACCTCGCTTGATGCATTGCTCCAAGAGGTTACATTTTCAGCTTTTTCTCGTTACTCGTATCTCCTCCCAAAAAAATGATAAATAGTTCAATCAGTTCCCGATAGTCTTCGCGTACTATGGATTTTTGAAGCTCATGGTTATAGAATGTTAACAATTCTTTAATTTTGGTGATACTCAAGTTTTGTCAAGTCGAGGTTTATTTCGATAGCTGCAGGGTCAATGTTATTCCAGTTATCTTTAAATTTTTTAAATAATGGAATATCAGGACTGCTCGTGACTTGTTCGATTTTTGATTCTAATACACTTTTCAAAACTAATTCGTAAATATGATGGCGGCAAGCAAAAAGCAGCAATTCTCTTTCTAATTTTTGCTCCAAAAGTACACAAGATCCATTCAACCGCCCTGTATTAGAAGCTGTTGTATCATACATAACACATAATTTGTACCTTGTCATCAAGGTTCCGGTCATACAGCGCGTTTGACACAGCTTTAGCTTGATCCTTACCCGAGGCGCTTTCCAATTATGCTACAGCAAGAAGTTGTTCTTTATCTCCGAATGAGATGAGGATCGGTAACCGTACTTCTTTAGAACTCCTTACATTCAGCCCAGGTAATAATTTGCCATCCCAATGAACAGTAACAATTTCAAGGCATGTTATTCTGGAAATCATATTTTATGGACTCAGCTCTTTTTCTACGAATCTGTGTACGCATGCGTTGAATATAACATTTATTGTTGGGAAAGTCTTCACTCCGAGTCTTAATGCCTCTGTTACAGCCTGAAGTACATAAACTGCGTCTCGAACACTTAACTGGCATCTATCTAAAGCTGCAACTAACTTGGGCGTCGTAAAGCCTTTCCTTCCTCTTTTTTTATAGTTGGATAACTTACAGGTTGAGATGTTGATGAGGCTTCCATCGGAAATGGTAGGTCAATCATCCAGTTTTGTACGCTGTATTGTTTCTTGTATAATGAGCGGTGATGATGCAGCCTTCACGCACATTCGTTCGAGTCTTTTATTTTCTTCTAGTTTTCTCTGACTAGCCCTCTCTTCCTCTTCAACCAACCTTTTGTCTATATCCATTAAGCAACCTGGACGTCCTGGCTCTTTTTGTTTTTGTAAAAAGACACTTTCTTCCTTAATTTTTATTTGTTCCAGGGCATAGGCATGAGCAATATCGAATAAACTGTCCAAGTTATTTGAAAATTCTTCCTCATGCTTTCTATAAACATCTTGATGGTTTTTGGAATTTTTCTGCAGCTCCCTCCAACCTTGGTAAAGGTCAGTGAGTTTCTTCACACAGTTCTGATAGGAATTCTGGCCTTTGCACTGAATATAACACACATTCGAACAAAAAGATTCGCGCTTTCTTTTACAGTCAATTTAACGTCGCGAATGTTAAAAAAAAGAACTGTGAGTACTTGACGATTAGACGGGAGCTTCCCACCTGTTATTTGATGATTTATGCCACCTACTAAAAAAATATCTTTCTTATCACTTCTTAATGAGACATCTCGAAAACATAAAACAATGCGTGTCGATCGGCCGGTGGCTGAAGAACAAATGACAAATACCGCGATCGCGCTCCGCATTTTCCGCGCTACTTGTATGAACAACTTTAAACGCAAGTCGGCACGGGTTGCACTGTTCCAAACATGGTAAAATTTTATTTACAAGCTTATGAGGGGTAAAAAAATAGCTGAGGGGTATGCATTAGAAAATGAAAACTTTGAAAAATAAGGGACAACAAAAGTAGGTACACATGCGTACACATGCCCACACATCCGGATACGGGTGTAACCTGAGGAAACGAAGATGGAGAGAGAAAAATCGACACACGAAGTCCATAACAATAGCCAACCTATACATTGTAGTATAAAATTACCTATCCTATTTTCTGCTCGAATCCACTTTCCTCCTTTTTGCGGATTTTGCCCCTTATTTTCCTACTTTTTGTTATATACCTTTATCCGCATGATCGTTTTCTCTCTCTCTCTCTCTTTCTATATATATATATATATATATATATGTATGATTGTTTGCTCTTATAAGAGTTATTCTCGTTTTTTGCACACCTTTTTATTAATACTATCCGTTTAAATTTGGCATTATGATATTCAATTTCTCAGAAAATTAACTCACTTTTTTATGTATAAGCTCACGGTTTCTCACTACTTTTTTGAAAACATCACTTTGCTCACTTAAATTCATGCTTTAGATTGCCAGCGCCCCTGAAATAGTGAAAAGTAAGTAACAAAACCTACTACGATATTAGTGAATAATTTTATTTGTGGTGTGCGCAAAAATTACAACAAAATAAACATTAAAATTATATAGGGTGACGTGAAGCTAACTCAAAACTATAGTTTCATTAAGCAGAAAGGTACTCACATTTAGTGACTTTTGCAGGGAATTTGTGTCACATACGTTTGTCTGATGATCAGGGTTCTTATTAAGTAGCTTTTTTTATATTTGTTTGTATTAAGTTCTTTAACGTCTCTCACATACTGTGCTAATACTAATTTCTTCTTTTTAGCAATTTGAGGTGCCTGTTATCACATTAGTTCAGTATTAGACTTCGGTAATAAGTTTTAGAACTCTTTATAATGCCTTGGTCAAGTGGTTGACAAGCATCTTTATGTTTAATTATATCTGCAGCTTGTTTTTAGAATATTAAAACACACTTAACCTTATTGTGAACTTCAACAATCTCAATTTTTCGTTTATCAGAATACACCACATTGGCTGCGTTTGTATCGAACGATTAAAGTCGGTGAATCCCCGGTTTACTCGAGAAATTCTCAGCAAAGATGGCGCGCGACACGATTGAGAAATGCAATAGCGATGCTCTCAAGAGAAAAAAAAATACGACAAGGCGTTTCTTTTTATTTTGCTTTTTGTCCGGTTAGAAGAACATTTACTCGTGTCCGCGTCCGTTCAAGAGATGTCCGTCCAAGAAAGAGTTAATACCATGCAAATTATATGAGAGTCGGTCGGGACCATGAGAAACTATCCGTTTAATGGAGGTGACGTGTAAGAGGGGTTTCCGCGAAGGCGGAATTTCTGTACTTAGTTTCAGTTTAATATCATCCACCGGACGACCAGATAGCACACATTTGGGACGTCCAATTTGGACAACCAATGGACTTTCAAATTGTATGTACAATGGACATCCAATTAACGTCCCCCAGTGGAGGTACATATTGGAAATTGGAAAGCTTGCACTTGCTGAATCGACTGAAATGAATTATTGTCTAAAAAAAACAAAGAAAAACACGATTTTTATTAGCAAATCGAACTAGAAAATAATTTTCAAGTATAGTAAAGCTCATTTATACTACAATAGAAAGTCCAATAATCAATCAATTTGGAGAGATATCAATGTAAAGATTAAGAGATTAGCAAACATTTCAATTATAATAAAAAAGCGTGTGGTGCATAATATCAAATGCAAGAATAATTGTTTAGTTGCTATTTACAAGATTGGAGTTATTACGAAAACATAGTTAATATCTTAATTTTTATATTGATCTGATTCCTAATTAATTAGTCAATCTTGATTCCTGGACTTTCTATTGCAGTAACACAAGCTCTCCTATGCCTGAAAACTATTTTCTATTGAAACGTAGTTTTTAGTTTCGTTAAACTACTATTCGTTTTTGAATTTTTATAATCAAGAGCTCCGGCTGTTTGTATATTTACGAGTATTTGACAAGATATTGAAATTTACTTCAAACTTTTCCAAATTTCGAAAATTTCAATTTTTTAAAATTTCTGAATACTTGCAACATATCCAAATCTTCAAATTATTTTCCAAATCTCCAAATTTTCCAATTGTTGTTCAAAGTTTCAAATCTAATCTTTTTCTTAAATTTCAAAATTATAATTTTTATAAATTTTCAAACTCATTTCTTTCAAGATTATTATATGGTAATCGGCCCTTGACTACTGTGCAACTTTTCAAGTTAATCGAACTTCTTGAAATTGTTAAAAATAAGGTTGAAAGATTCCCTTACATACATACGAGAGTGGTTAGCGCGTCGACCCGAAGCTCGTGGGTTCGAATTTCCGCCTCGGAAGTTGATTTCGAGCCACGGATATATCACGCACCAGATCGGTGCTAAGTCCACAGAGGTTTATTCAATAATCTGTTAGCAGTAGATGGCTTGTGGGGTAGTACAGTGTTCGTGCTATCGAGTCGGCAAAAAGGGTCAAAGCTGGCCTAGTTGTCGGGTTTTGCCTCCCCACCAGTGCTATTGTAAGAAAGTATGTAACGAATCTATAGAATAATTTCACTATTCTCAATTTCAGACTCTTTCCATAAACAGCCTGTAGAGATCGATCTAACCCTAGCTTGTGTTGGCGAACAAAACACCACCATCAGAGGAGGAATACATTGGCCAATCATTTACGGAGTTGGAGTTAATGTGAAGACTGGAGAAATATTTCCAGCTACTTTCCCAGACAAAGGGCCTGACCAAGCACTGAGGTTCGCTAGATACCTCACGGGTGTTCCACAGGTAAAAAAATGTTCATAGATCTGATGCTAGTATCTGGTTCATTTGTAATGATTTCTTCAATTTGCAGTGAATATGAAAAAAAATACTTACCTAGCTTTTACCAGTTACTGTGCAAATTTACCTGATTTCAACAACATTAATTACAACGACCAACAACTGAAGCTGATAGCCGCACACACAGCCATACACTTAAGTGTCCATGCCGACCGTCATTTAAGTTGAGATCAACATACGAATAATCTTGTAAAAAAGCTAAGAATGCTCATACCAGTTTTAAGACAGTTGAGAGAATTCCTTGATAGTAATCATCTTTGCCCAGTCTATCATGCTCTAGCATATTCTCATCTGACTTTCGGTGTAATAGTATGGGACGGAGTCACTAACTTATACTTGAAACCTGTCTAAAATGGCTTCTCAAAGTGATGAATAATAAACATTATACATATCCAATGCGATAAACTATATTTTGAATGGAAAATTTTGGACATTGATTTTAATCTATTTATTAAAAGTTATATATATATATATATATATATACACATATACCGGAAAGCTTAAAAGCATTGAAATGAAAAAAAGTATTAGAAAAGAAGAAAACAGGTTGTTTCTCCATAGTGTAGACATCTGTATTCATTTTCTTGTTTTTTTTTTATTATGTACATTTAATTCTGCATCTTTTGTAAATATTTCATTCAAATTATCATCGATGACCGAAATGCTGTGCTTAAGGTGCAAGTAAACACTAAAACTTCAATGAAGCGGGGAGTTGAAGACATAGGCAGGCTCACAGATAAACTGAATGACATCGATCCCAAGGCCCAACCCCCAACCTGGCAATTCAGAGCAGGGAATCCAAACAGTGGAGAGGTCTGCAGAAGAGCTACCTTCCCAAATAATCTCGGCCTTGTAGAGAAGCCCGGACGACTACGATGCTTTTGCGGAAATCGCGGCAAAGCAATCGCCTGAGTCAACCTTCAGGAAGACCAAGGAATTGGTATGAAACCTTCTGTGGGAAAACACGAGTTGCAGTGATCTGGTGCTGTGCGCAGAGTCTGGGCAGAGCTACGACAGAGATATCGACCGATATTTCAAACTCTGATCCTAAAAATAGAATCTGTGGAAATGGAAGGGGCGAGGCAACAGGATTTTAACAAAGAGCAAAGGATTAGAAGATACCAAAAAAGAGCTACGTCTATAAAGTAATACTGGACAAATATGAGCGAACCACCTTCAGCAACATCATTGAAATGAGGGAACTGACAAAAAAGGAATGGCGCACAGCTATTGCGGTACCCACTCCTGACCTCGCTAGGAAGGAGAGGATTAAAACGCTTCTTGAATTCGTCTTCACAGGAGCAGACATACAGCTTAGGCTCTACGTCCGTACCAAAGACCAAGCCGATTAAAAAATAATAAAGAAGCTGCCACTACATACAAAGAAAGAAAAAGGCGATTGAACACAGAAGCCGTGATTGTGTCCGCCAAGGATATAAGCTAAGCTGATTTCCTGAGAAAAGTCAAACAGGAGGCTAAGATTGACGAACTCGGAGTAAATATGAGTAACGTAAGGCAAAGTAGGAGGGGAGAGCTGTTGTTAGCTGTGCCAAAGGATTGAGGTGCAGACCAACTCAAACAGGCCATAAACAAGCTCGGAATCACCGCTAGAGATAGTGGGAGCACAACCCTACATGTTCACTGTATAGATGGAGTGGCCACCGTAAAGGAGACCGAAAGAGTTCTTCGGAAAGCAGCTGATGACAAGTGTGGAGATATTATAGTCAAATCCATGAGGCTCACAAGAAACGGAAACCAAGTCGCCACTGTACTTGCACCAAGACAGCTGGCGGACCTACTAGTCGAGAAAGGCCATATCAAACCAGTCTTCATCATGTGTTCCATAATGGAATGAGTCTCCCTGGAAAAGTACAGAAGGTTGCTGGGCACTCAGCTAGGAAGTGCAACAGCGAGGACAGTCAAAATCTATGCTTGAATTGTGCGAAAGAAGAACACAAGAGGACGGATTGCAGACACACTGCTTTTTCTCCAATCTGCAAGGTAGAAGGTCACAGAGCGGGATCTTACTCTTGCCCGGACTTTGCGAAGGCACAGAGGGTCCTGCAGATCAATACCAAGCGCAGGCACAGAAGGTGCAAGTGCTGTCCTTGATCCTTCAAATCAACCTAAACAGATCCAAAGCAGCACACGACTTAGCTTGACAAACGGTCATCATTATGGGGTCAGATCCTATACTTGTGAGTGAGCCCAACCGGAAGGTATATACCAAAGCTGGGCGGCACCCGGATGAAGATCTCAACGTAGCTGTCCACTTTTGCATTAAGATAATACATTTTAAGAAAATAACGAAAGCAAAAGGATACGTGGTGCCACACGTGCGTGCTCTAAATATCTACTGCTGCGTCTTTTCGATATTTATCGTCTATTTAGACCATACACATCAACACAAAAGCGACTGAGTGGGGGTCTCCCAAGACAGATAAAAGGGGACGGCTGCTGTGCGAATAGTTAGCGTCCTTTGAGATGGACGTCCACAATAGAGGAGATTCACCAACATTTTTGTCGAAGGTCTAGTTCATTGCACTTGGTCATCACTGTGTCCAGAAGTGGTACCGCCAGCGACCGCAAGTACATCGGTTTTGAGGTAGAGCTTAGAAGAATCATTCCGAGGAGATTCGAGCGAAGAGTGTGGCGATGGAACAATCAGCAATATACAACGATGGCGAAGAGCGCACAAGCAGCTTGCAAGGTACAACAAAGGAGGAGAAATGATATTGGTGGACGGAGGAAATAGGAAACGCGAGAGTCAGTGGCTTGAATGCCAGAAGGCGTCTCACACTAGCTAGGACGTGATCCGGGCAAGACGATGCAAGACTATGTAACTTACAGGAAGAATATGCCAAACAAGAGGAAAGAGCTAGGAAACCTTTTAAAAGAGAAGATGCTGGGCCGAGGTGTGTGAAGAATTAGAGGCAGACATCTGGGGAATGAAATAGTCACCGGAAAGCTAACGAGGCGGACGCCAGACTACAGTTCAACTAAAGAGTTGAAAAATTCCGTTGTAGAGCACCTTTTCCCGGTTCGAAACGGTACATGGACAACACACAAGGTTGTGGAGGAGGTCCCACCATTCACAATGTAGGAAATGTTCTTGGCTGGTTGTATTCTTGAAAACGGGAATGCACCAGCGCCAGATGGGATTCCCTCAGAGGCGGTCAAGGCAACATTGGAAACCATCCCTGACAGAATTGTCCATATGCTAAACGATCTACTCGGACAGGCAGCTGGAAGAATTCCAAGCTAGCGCGCCTTCTGAAGCCCGGAAAACCACCCGAGCTGCCATCATCATATGGACGAATCTTCCTCCTAGACACATCAGGCAAATTATATGAGGTACTTATACGCAGTAGACTAAAGGAGGAGCTCCGAGGGACTATCCGAACGACAATACGGATTTGGGAGAGGGAGGTCAACAACATAAGCTGTTAAAGCGATCGTGGCAGCACTGTGGATAAATGATGTTGCGTAGTAACGTTTGACGTAAACAACGCATTCAACACAGTGTCTTGGAAGGTCATAATGGAAGAGTTGGAAAGGCGAGACATCTTATTATACATCAGGATCATAATTAGCAGCTACTTCCAAGATAGACGAATAGTGGTAAACGACGAAGAACGCCACATCACGACCGGAATACCGCAAAGCTCATCTCTTGGCCCACGGCCAGAAACGCTGATTCGCTGATGTTGAAAGTGGACGAAAGGCTGATGAGAACTGACAGATGTATAAAAGACCATTATCTGGAGCTGGCCCCTCCTAAGACCGAGACGATACCGACCAGGTGCGCTTCATGCTTGGAGGCACTCAGGTTGTCCCTTTTAGCACACTAGTCTACCTAGGAGTTATAGTAGACAAAGAGATGACCTTCAGACGGCACATACTAAAAGTAAGCAACAAGTCAGACAAAGTTTCGGCCAAACTAGCACAATAATGCCCAGCAGTCGTGGTCCAAGGAGTGAGCGACGGAAGGTATTGTAAGGGGTAGTGCAATCAATCCTCCTGTAAGCACTACCTGCATGGCAGAAAGCTGTGATGTATAAAAAATATCAAGCAATGCTCGATGCCGCACAGAGAAAGGCACTGCTGGTTAGCGCGTATCGCACTGCCTCAACGCGCGCGCTTCAAGTCATCAGCGCGATACCTCCCCTCCATTTAATAGAAAAACAGAGGGTGTAAGTATACCAAGGCGACAGGATACCCGCCGAGAACAAAAGGGAGGTGGAAACAAGATTGATTATCGAATTGCAATCTGAGTGAGATCAAACAACTGACACGGCACAGTGGACGGAACGGCTGATACCAGTCCTGTCTGGATGGAATGTGAGCAGCGCCAGATAAACTACGAGTACTATCTAACCCAGGCATTAACATGGCATGTGCCATGCCGAAGTTACAGGAAAAGAATTGGGCATATCACTCAAGACGAGTGCTTAACCTGTATGGTGGAGGAGATTCCTCAGCACGTCATTTTCCACTGTGCTAGGTGGGAGGCATATAGAGTAGAAGCCCGCGCCAAGCTCAGAGCACTATTAATACCGGAAGATATGGTACAAGAAATGATCCACGCCAAGGATAAATGGCAGACCATCGACAGAATGAGCAGGGACATCCTGTGTATAAAAGAGACGGAAGAGTGGCAAACCAGTGCAATAGAACAAGAAGACCAAAACAATTAAACTCCCTGAACTCATAAGCCGGTCGATCCGGGAAGAAAGACGTAGGACGAAATCAAAAAAATCATGAGGAAAAATACAGCCTGCGTCCGCGAAGATATACCAACAGCGGCAGTTCCAGTACGTCAGGAGGTTCATAGACCCACTCGCTTCAGGTTGCGGCCTCGCGACGGTCCTGAAAAAAAACTACTACAAGTGCTACTAGTACTACTACTACCACTACTACGACCTTTACTTCTAAAAAGTAACCAACACATACTCGCTCCTGAATACTCGTATAAATCTAGAAGTCCTGTACACCCCAAGAGGTCAATCCTTTGAGGACGTAGAATAAACAATGAAAAATGGATCTCGAAAAGTAAAATCAGAGTTTTTTACATTTTATTTACGACAAGGCGGAAAAATGTACTTTGGATGTTAAGCCCCATGTTTCTGTCCATTTTCTCCTTATGTATAAATTATGTTGGAAACAATATGACGACCACGAAACCTGTCCTCATTTGTCCATTTTCAGGCAACGATACAACTGCGTATTTATTTTCAATTTAATCCTACCTAAAAACCACTCCAAATCTTTGATTAGATAGATTGTATAAAATGTTGTTTATATCTCAGGCGTATTAATCGTGTATCTCCCTTGGTGTGTTAAATAATAATAATTTATAATATTCCGCCCTAGATATATACATATCTATTATTTCTCAACAATTTAGATTGAAATATTTTCTAGGTGTTGGACATTTATGACTGCACATTAGGAATGCTCAGAATAGGACCCTTCAACTACGAACCCTTACGAGGTGTGGACCTGTGGTTAGAACAAACTGATGATTTTATTTTGCAACACCTGTCTACATCTCCAGAGGTACAACCACCACATTTTGTCATGCAGGTACGTATTGTTAGTTAAAAATAGGAGTCACGTAGTTTCACTCACGTCTATGCAAAGAGGGTATTAAATTTTTAATTTTTCGATATCTACCTTGATCTATAAAATTATTTGAAATTTTGAAACGTGCCATTAATCCTGCCCTTAGAATGGGATATTCTCTGTATAGAGAAAACTCAATTTTGAATATCTAATAGATTTTTTACATGCGTATTTGAATTTCGTACATTGAAAGAGAACTCTTCGTGAGTCCACCGTCCCCCTGGCATTACTTTGATTTATATTCATCGTACCGGTTGAATATCAAACTGTCAACGTCAGAGAATAAATACATTGATGAACTAAAGAAAGAAAGAACTTATCACGTCATATCAAAACTCATTAACTGGTGGAGGAGGAGTTTCGCTTCTTTTCGTTCTTAGAAGGAAATAACAGTTCTGGAAAGTACCCTTTTCCGACTCGGCATTCACCAATACTAATAGTACTACTGTCGTCAGTACGGTCTAGGTCTCTGGGTAGGACAACTAACGAAAGTAGAGCAATCGTATCCATCTGTCAGAGATTCAAGGTCTATCGAAATACTCGTATGACACACTGGTAGACAGTTGATTTGCAACATGGAAAATTTTACCAAATTCAAATCTAGACATTTTCGGAACGGAAAGAGATATCGAGTTGCGGTATTCGGGAGGTTCTTGACCAACTCTTTGAGAACACGATTGGTATATTTCTTTTATTTAACGACTCGCACAGGGTGAGCGAAGGAAGTCACGTTTTTTCAGCAAACTTTGGAGCTATGTTAGTATCTCAATTTTTGATCTTGAAATTTTTTCGATGCATCTTTTTGATCTTTGGACTATCCTAAAAAAAGTGGTGCTCCCCAAAATCTCGTGCAAAAGGTATAACAATTTTGCCTACAGTGTTCTCTCTATAAACTGGAGCATTGGTTGTCGGGTTTGGAATAAAGAGTTCGCTTTTTCCATTGTTCATAACCCCAGCCCAAACAGTGATGCAACCTTCACCAACCGCCTCTTGTGTGGCCATGTATGCAAATATTGCATCTATGGTGGTGGATCCCAGGGACTTATAAAAGCAGGTAGCAGACGGCGCGGCGATGCGATGTGCATATACGAGGTGGACACGATATTATCGCATGTTATGCTTGTAGTGTAATTTAACGAGGTTACTTGATTTCGAGGGATTTTTTTATGTTTATGAAAAGCCCAAATAGTCCACTGATATTTCTGACATAATACACGTATTGTTGATGCTATTTTTTTTATACTCCAACTACCACGAAGGCCTAAGGCCTAAGCACCCATTGGGTACCGTGGGGCTATAGGGGGATACATGGGAAAAGGGGGGACGCCACACGGACTCTGGCGAGGGAACACGTGTGCATGCAACATGCACACATTCTGGCTCCGCTTACGAGAACCGCCGGGTGGTACCTCCGCGTTCGACAGTCAGAGACCATCTACCACCTACGGACAATCACAACATCCATAGCCAAGAGAAAAATTTCTCCTGGGACGGGACTCGAACCCGCACAGCGCACGGCGGCTGATCAGGAGACCGAAGAGTCTACTACTGCGGCCACCGCTGCTGCCTAAAACAAACACACAACATCCATGGCGAAGGCGAGATTCGAACTCGCCGCCCGGCCGGCCGGCTGACCAGTAGCACGACACTCTGACCCACGCGGCCAACCGAGGTCCCCGCTATTGCGCTACATGGAAAATTGCACTAGAAGTTGTTTGGAAGACGTGGAAAATATAGACTTTATTTGTTTATATTTCAGATGAGAGCCACGTTGAAATACATCCAAGACAATCAGTTCCCAGCAGTAACTGTCTTTAGGGATAATCGTCCACATTACTACAGGCGGGACGAACATTCAGGAACTTGGGTGCCAGTTAGATATTAGGTTAGTTTTAAAACATCTATCTCAGATAAATATATATTATACTATTTTAATTTCATGTCCTATGGGGCATAGTTAGTAAATTGTAAAATGTGATATTTTTAAGGAACAGTTGCATCATTGTTGCTATATTAATGGTAATGATTTTTTTTAAGATTATTCCACAACAAACCATTGGTCTTGCTTGGGATACATTAAAATGATACTTCGTTCAAGAATCGGATGGTTGTCTTAACTAAAAGAAATATTACATTCCGCAGTGCGGAGTTCATTGTCATATGTTTATAAAAGAAAGGTTCATGCTAAGGTTGTGTCGACTTTGATGTGTTACAGATATTTGGACTTAGGTCTAAGATGCTGTTTTTTGTGCACAGTCTTTCGGTTGCTGGATATTCTTATCAGAGTTGCTAAAAGTATGTTGGAGTTGCACCAGATTTGACGTAAATTATTGCACATCTTGAAAAAATTGAAATTTTGTTGACACATGAAAGCTTGGCAATACTGATACAACCGTGTTAGTATGTTTTTATGTCTTTGATGAAAATGAGGTCTGATGCGCAAAAATTTACTACAGTTATTTGTAATTTTATATATCTTGTTGTGTATGTTGCGTTTATGCATCTTTATCATTTATATGCTGTAAGTTTGTTAGCTTATTTGGGTTGTTGATTTTTTTCAAATAAATTGTTCGTTCGAAACGGTGAATTTTTTAATTTTCTCATATTTGAGCAGCTATACAATCCAAATTTACTAGAAGCCTAATAGGTTCTATACAATTCTGCGCCCCTAAGAATGAAGGAATGATTATATCGGCCAATTCAAGATCATTTAAAGTTGCTTGAGATTATATTAGGTGATCAGTTAAATGACAAAAATTAACAAGAATTATTTATTTCGTTAAAAAATTAAATATACAAATAAAACAGGGCCGCAACTCATATGTTAACAAGCAAATGGAATGTAATGATGAATCTAACAAACCTAAACTTACAATGTAAGCATGATCACAATTGACTTCGGTTTCAACGAAACAAAAACTTTAATATAGTTTTACCTAAATTACCAACGAGTTTCTAACATGTACAATTAACTATAAATACTAACAGCAATAATATTAAGATTTAGTGAAAATATACAATTATAATAATTCATGAAAAAAAAGAGGGGCTTGCCTCACTGAAGGAGTACTTGAACGTTATATTTACTATTGATATCCTATTAGCATCATCTATTGGATTGAGACAAGCCCAACTAAAGAAGACACATCGGAAAGTTCTGTACAGTCATCATACTAAAACAAGAATCATCTTATAGAATATCAATTCAAATCTAACTTCTTCAAAAAATATTTTTGAATTTGTGATGCATATTCCATATCTACTTCTTATCTGGCATTACTCATTACGGTAATCCTTTCTAAAAGAAAAACATATTTTAGATTGAAGGTAAGTTAGATAAAAACCTTATTCCAGCTTTATTTTATAGAAATCTTGAATATGGCAATGAATTAATGTAATGTATTACGCGAGTATATTACCTAAGTATATATCAATATATAAAACTCCTGTAAGGAGTTACACGGAGATTATAATCTTATGGATCAGATTAATATTTTCATATCACAATTATATAAATTTCAAAGTTAAAGGATCAACTTAAAAATAATAATACTTATATATTTAGATGCCGATAACCAGCTTCGCGCAATTTCTTCTGGATACGGAATTCCGATACTATATATAGCGAATAAACCTTTTTCAACAATTCTTATTCCAAAAAACGAATCATTGATATAAGAACATACTTAAATATTGTATAACATACGATCCATACAAATGTAAATAGCGCTTCAATATCTCATACATAGACATGAGAATACCCAGAATAATGCATGACAGATTTAAATATTCAATTCTTCTGTGTAGCACATCTCTGGAGTCTGGAAGCGCTAAACATTAAACAACATACACTATTTTATATTTGCGATGTTAAGTATCGGCATCTATACATTATTGGCGAATGACATTACAACAAACGTTTCACATACATACAATTTCCATAGAGCCTTAATTTTCACACAGATTGTTAACATCATACTAAAATAACAGAACGACATCAAATGATTACATTTCGTCTAAAGTCTATCAAAATTGCTTATGAGTATGAGGTAATAAGGTATTTTTATTATTGGCTAACAATCAATGTAATCACTGATGTCTAATGTTCTGACCAATTATCCGTTAATAGAATTTTTCAACACATAACACCAACTAGTGCCATTCTGCCAAGATGAACTTTTATGGATAATAATCTACAAGCAACTATTCATCCTTTTGCAAACTCAGTACATTTGGATGGTGCATTTAGGTTATTTGTAGACTACCATTACATTTATATACTTGTCAAACTATTTAACATATATTAGTATCCAACAGACTCTTCTATAGAGAATAGAAAAATCAAGGATTAATTGATATCCGAGAATAGTTTAATTTCCAAAAACAACTTATCCTAAGGGTCTGTTGAAAACTTTTTCGAAAAAAGTACATTTTGATTCTCATTCACTATGGCATACCGAAAATAATGAAATACTAATGTATCGTGATAAGTTTCTAACACTCACTAAACACATTCAAGTACCTCATGTATTAAGTTCAGGGTTCCATATGTATCACCAAATATCCATCATATATTGTCAGACACAAGTCATTGTTTATTTTTCAATATGATACCGACCTTCCAACAGAAGATCACTTCTCAATCTTCGTCATAATTGTACCAGAGCTTTCGTATTCTCAGAATTTTTCAACGACACGATAAAGACGGTGGTTGACACATGTATTTTCTATCGAATTTGCGTCAGTTATCATATGATAGACATTTCGTGGTATATAAAACACCGAATTATATTATGCGTATATCTATTGCTTTGTACTACTTCAGCTCATTGTTTGTTACAAAAGGTGAACGTAGCACTATCAAAGGCCAATGATACTCTTATTTATCTCATCTACCTATTGGACATATTCAGTGTAAAACGTTCATACACTTTGCCACATATAAAAAAAATTACTTACTCTCTATTTATTTTCTTTTAGATCACTGTAACTATATGAATCCATCGTAATGTAACGTATTCAGCACTGCTAGTACATAAACGTTTTCCAAACGTTGAGATCACGTGTATAAGTCAACATTCGAACAGTGTTATAAAGTCGAAATGTTAAAATTACGAGGTTTGGTTGACCAATTAAATTAAAATGTTGATATAACGCATAAAAAACGTTGATGTTTGTTAAAGATAAATTATAAGTCGAACAGTGATTAGCAAAGTTATATCAAATACAATTGTATAAAAATGTCACATCTTACCTAAATGAAACCTACACTGGGTATGCACTCGCATATTCGAATGGCTCATCTTACTGCATAGACATTGATGGTAAAAATAAGGAACATCGATTGCAAAAATCAGAAACTAAAATATTCTGAATATCTCTCTACACATGTATTCAACAATATTCTTGAGTTGCGGGTTATAAAAATATTATATTCGTGTCTAGTTGCTACATGGTTATTTTTCAAACATTGACATTTGTCTCAAAAAAAGGGGCCAAACATGTATTCAAAGATGTACGTGAACTGAATTTAGAGATTGAGACTTTGGAAAATGAGGTTTCGGATGCACTGATTACAAAACGTTGCCTTTTGGATGCCAAGAATTACAGACTCGGGTCTTTTTCGTTAAAAAATATTTTCTCCACGTGTTCTATGAACCGACGCCATGAAATATTTTACCGAGGCAGAGGCATATATTTTTTAGATAACATTGTGGTGAGGTATAACTGATTTCTACAATTTGCAATGTGAAACCCATCTCTGTTTTCAAAGAAGAATATTTTAAATTTCAACAAAGAGATTATTAAAAGCATAAAAATAACGTCAAATTATAAGGAAAAGGTCTAGTGGTCTGATATTACCAAAGGGGGGTGGCGGTTTCGATCTATCAAGGTAATTTTAATTTTTACACCAATACATTTGGATAATATTTTCTTAAAAAATGGCAAACTTAGGCATTTAGGGGGGTCCCTCTTAATCCGCCCTTGGATATCACATGTACTAAAGATCATGGGATTGAATTTCGGGCAGCAAATCATATGCACTGTCATGGTACAATAACGCCACCGAATACCTACCACTAGAAATGCTTGACTCGTCAACGAAAATTAGAATCCCAGAATGAACCACATTGATAGACGATATTTGGAAAAAATAATCATCAAAAACTGAATGTCAAGAATTCTTCCTTTTGCGGATAATGAAGATAACCCGATAACGTTGATTGCTTTTCTATATTTTTCTTTTGAAGAAACCTTACAACTTATAAAACATCTTTATACTCTCAGTATGCATTTACTTACTTCAACACCCTGCATCTCGGAAAGGGAGCATTTTACGATCCATGCTTATAGGAGCCTTTGGTGTTATTTTTCTCAAGTACGTTCTGCCAAAAAATGGCATCGTGCTATTATATGGTTTTAGTATATTTTTGGAAACAATCTCTTACGAAATACTGATCAATAAAATCCTTTCATGAGACGGATACGATAAGATGTAGAAAACAAAGCTTGTTACAACAAGACAGAAAAATAGCTCCCTTGCTCAGCATATAAGCTTACACTTAGGTCCTCACGGTTCCTTTGCCATCTGGCTACACTTCAGATACTCCTTCTCCTTGATAGGCTTCGGTCCCAGGAAACAATTGACGAACTTCTGCCAGCAGCCTACTCTTTCTGTTTCAACTCGTCTTCGATTGATCATATCAGGCATGACGTCATCCAATATCTTCAGTTCCCTTTGCGTGAAGACGCAGTCTAAAGATTTTCGGATACCGATCATCACCACCAACATTAGAGGAAACAAAATCGACGTTTGGCTGAAGGACTTTATGACCCACAGGCAGGCCAGGCAGGTTACTTGAATGATGGTGAAGAGGTGGACTTTCTTTACAGGTACCTGAAAGGAGAAACGGAATCAATCTTTGAGCTGAAAGTTTTTTCATAGATTTTAGTTGCTCTCTATAATATGTAATACATACATCCGTAGTTCTAGCACAGATTATACAAATACGAACACCTCTGTCGGTTATTTTGATCTTCGTGTCCTCAACTGTTTGGCGCGTTTTACGCTTCATTGTTCTGATGTCACAAATGTCATACCTCAAACTACAGAATCAAAAAATTTACAATTTGCTCAAATGCATTTAACCAAGATAATTTTTGGAGATCTTTTTATATTGAATATATTGATAATATTGAACTAACAGTAGAAGTACTTAATAAAGTATCCGGAAATGGATCAGTAACAGTTAAAAGCAACGGAGATCCTACCAATTGCATACGACTCAAGTTGGCGTTGATGGAACCTAATTTTTGACTGGCTGTCGGCTCTAGTAGTTCTAGCATAATTCGTTTTTCGAGAAAACAAGAAATTTACATGGATGTAAAGCTAGTCCCACAAAATAATACCTCCTGAAAATATAAGCACTGGGTCTGTTTAATATGCTTACCTGTCTGAGGTACATGTAATCCGGCTGATACTTGGCCGGCATGAACATAATCAGCATCCGATCAAAGAACTGCAGCCCCTTAAGGGACGCAACTCCCATGTAGAGAAAGACCCCAAACAGCACAGGCATCGGAATATGTCCAAGTGTAGGCGTCAAAAACACTGACAAACCGATGGACAGGAAAATCAGAATGTGAGTCACACGTTGTTCTCGAACCCCCAGGAATTGGGGCTTGTCTCCAGGCGCTGCGCATTCCGATTCCAACTTCAAAGAATTCACGTGATTTATAGACAGCACTGTAGCAGCTACGAACCAGGGAAGGCCCATGAAAGAACAGATTTGGATCAGGATGGATAAGACGAAGAGGTCCAGGTGATAGCCACAACCTGCAAGGATAAAGTGTCTTTTATACTCAACGAGCCGCAAAGACTACAAGTCATTTTGATCTTTTTCTAAGAGGTGAAAAGCAAACGTAATTCCAAATAATCAATAATAACCTGTGAATCACAAAAAATATTAAAGACCGACATTATGCGCCATACCTTTAACAGAGTATTCGTATAATTATAAGCAAACGATGACCTTATTGGTTGATCAGCGTTAGGCATTTGTTGTATAAAAAAAGCCTTCAAACGAGTATTTTACACCACTGGCGAGGAAGTATTGGAATCGCAAAAGCTCCTAAAATGAGAGTTCTTTGGATGTTATAATAGATGACACCTACATCATGAAAAATCATATCACTCATTTCCGTCGGTCTGTCGATTTGTCTCTCTGACTGTCTGATTCTCTGCTTGTCTGTCCACTAATCCTTGATGAAGTTTTCGCACAAGGTTACGAATATGCCAAGGATCATGAAACTCCACCCAGTGGCGGAGAAGATCGTATAAACACATAATCCCTTATATACTGATGACAGCATTGCGAGGGAAGTGCAGAATCAGACTACTTGACGCCATTTTTTTTTGCTGGATTTGCGAAGAAATGAAATTCTTTATTTTCCTTAGTTGAGCTGTATGACTTCGATGATTTTATTTCTTTCCGTAGTTCGTACGCATGTTTTCTAGAAATATTAGGTAGATGTAAAAAGTTAGCATCCTAAGAAGAATGGACATTCTTAGTACAGCATTTTATCAAGGAATATTAGTCGAGACTAGCACAAACACCAATAATCTGGATTTTTGTCAGACGATTTTTGAGTTGTAGTTCCTATCCCCACTCCTTCCCAATGCACAGAATGTTTTCTAGATATACTACATTTCCAAAAATTGATTTAACAAACCATTTCATCGTATCGTAAACTGTTGCTCCATAGAAAAACTCAACTGATCTCATAAATATTCTTTAAGCATTACTAAAATACAGGATGTCCTTAAAGTAGGAAGTTTTCTGTACATGCAACAATAAGCAAATACATAAAAGTCTTAAAGATGTTACCGGCATATTAAGATTACGAGATATGTCAATACTAAAATCAGGTGCAGCGTGGTACCTATACTGTCGTACTTAGGTGTCTGAGAAAATTGAGTATAAAATTCTGGATATTTTCGAACTAAGTAGTATTATTATTATATATTAGTATTATATATAGTATTATTACGACAGAATAAAAATGAATGGATTTTGCAAAGTTACACGACTTTATAAGGAGTCATTTAAATGTGATTTCGGATCGTAATTTTTGTTGAGGCCTAGAATAAGTGACATTCCGTCTTTAATTGTTGTAAATCAAAAAGCAGTAGCATGTGATTTACCGCTTCTATGTTCTGCAAAAACAAATTTAGTCTTTTTTTCGTAGTTTTCATAATCCAATTATATTATTTTTTCAAAGGAAACCGCGGTTTTATTTTATTTTAATACAATCTGTTCATATTCAAATTTATACCAATTCCACAAAAGTAAACCTTTTCAGCACCTAATAATTCAATTCAATAATTGTACGATTACATTCAATAATTATATAAACAGACTAACAACAGCATGTTTTGCTTATGTTAAGTTAAGCGAAGAATTTTTCAAAATTATTCCTTCGATGCAAAAGTAATAACTTATAACAACAAATACTCATACACAAATGATAGAATTATTTCATAAGAAAGTTAAATAAGTAAACATATCAGAGATTATAAAAGGGTAAAAAAGCAGTACTTGTATCATACAGAGAGTAAAAGTTTGAAGGGTACTACTTTTTTTATACAGTGATTTTCTTTAATGTCCCCCTCCCCTTTGATTTGTTCAAGGGATCAATTCAAAAAATTAAAACTTGAGGTAATGAAATTGATGCGTAGATACCATATTTTAGAGTAAGATTGACAGATGAAAATGTCAAGATGGCCGCTGGGCGCCATCTTGGAAAAAATCATATGAAAACTGGGGTCTTGTGGCACATCATTTTGAAGCTCCTAGGTACTTTATATCCCTAGAGTATAAAGTCAATACCTTCACCTACTACAAAATGGTGGTAATTTAATAATTACTTCAACATAAACCCACTAACATGCACTACAAATAATTGTAATTGCCTACCGTATCCACAGCAAAAGAGATAAAAACTTGTTTTGTTATTTTGTTGACAGTGACAAGAATATCAGTACGAAAACAAAAACATCATTGTACAGTTAAAATATTCTTATTTAGTTTTCGGTTTTAGTGCTAGATACTGTTTGAACTATTTTTAAAATGGTCAATTTTCGTCCATTGGAAGAAAAAATCGAAGCGATTTTTATTTATGGTGGGATGCGTAACGTTCACAAGACCGAAAGGAGTTTTAATTATCGTTTCCCGAATCGTCCTATCTGTAGAAAATATTTAAGGGAACTTGTATCTAAATTTACAGCTACTGGTAGTGTAAACAACAGAAAGCCCCCAGGTTATCCGACCATCCCGGAAGAAAAACAAGTTGAAAAAATAATTGATGCGATCATGGTAAATCCCCAACAGTCTACTTCCTCTATCGCGAATGTATGTGAGGGTTGTCCTTCTACTGTATGAAAACTTTTGGAAAAGAATAAGTATCACCCATACAAAATTCAAATGGTACATCAGCTGATCGAAGAACAGGATTCTGCGAGACTATGACGGAAACCATTGCACTGCGTCATACCTATATCCAAAATATTTGTTTTAGTGATGAATGTACATTTTTTCTCAACGGTAATGTGCATAGACAAAACTGTCGTTATTGGAGTGACACCAATCCTCTCGTCTTCCGGGAACTGTATTTGGATATACGGGTGACTCTAATCACCGAAATCGTTGAAGCTCGCTCGACAGATTTGACACCTTTCGACTTTTTTATATGGGGTTATTTGAAGCAAAAGGTATACGAAACTGAACCTGCTTCAATATTGGATATACGGCTGAGAATAACAAGTATTTGTAGAAATATCGACGATACTTTGTTTGAAAATGTTCGACGCGAAATTACGGATCGGCTGTTATTGTGTCAAGAAGTTCAAGGCAACCATTTCCAGCACATTCTAAACTGAAGTCAACGTATTTATTCGAATTATCAAGTTAAATGTCAATGTATTCAGGTAATTATTAAATGTACCACCATTTTGTAGTAGGTAAAGGTATTCTATATTCTAGGGTTATAAAGTACTCGTCAGGAGCTTCAAAATGATGTGCCACAAGCCCCCCGTTTTCATATAATGTTTTTCCAAGATGGCGCCCAGAGGCCATCTCGTCATTTTCATCTATCAATTTTACTCTAAAATATGGTATCCACGCATCAATTTCGTTACCTCAAGTTTTAATTTTTTGAATTGATCCGTTCAAAAAATTCAAGGAAAGGGGGACATTAAAGAAAAACACTGTATATGTTGTAATTGTAATCATGAAATAAATATATTTGGGTCAAAATTTAAACAAAGTAGTAAATGAACTTTACTGCCTTTACCTAAGCTTGGCAGTATGGCAACAGAAGTTATCAACTTGATGTTAGCTTACGCTGAGTGTCTTCAAGATGCTATTGATACTTTGTTAGTGTATTCACATCATTTTCCTGGATGCTACTATGCCGAACCCGGTAGTTTTGTTTGTATCATGAAAAGCCATCGAGTGGGACGCACTGGGAGACCTAGTTTCCCGAAGGTTGCAAATTTAAGGAAAAGTTCACAAACCTGTGTTTTTGAATAGAACTGCAAAAAATTCACAATATTCACAAGCCACATGTCACAAAGCACTACTTAAAATTTCTTATGAAATGAAAAGTGACTATTTTACTTCAATTAATTTTTCAAGTTTCCGCTAGTGTCTTACAATACATTGGGTATGCTATTTCAAACTCAGTTGTTTCGGAAAAGGAAAGCCTCAGCTTTCGGAACACTTTGTGTAATCGACATTTCTTTTACCTTTTTTGAGTTTGAACTCTTTCCTATTGATGATAACACTTGTAATCTGTTGATCCATGAAGATAAGTATAGTCCCCAAAAGCGCGGGAGGTAAAGCCACAAGCGCAGAATACACTGGATTGTGTTGGAACGGGGGGATGAACCACCCCCTCGTATGCAGGGTTGGCTTGAACTCATGCGGTACTTCCAATTTGGGGGTGGCTATTCCTACTTTGTAGTCTAGCAGAGTCATGGACAGAATTGCTATGATCACGGCGAAGTCGCTAATGAATTGACGAACCTGGAAAAATAGTCATTCTCGTATTACTCAGGTTTTCAAATAAAAAGAAATGTGTAGAAATCAGGTTCCAAGAAAATTAATAAAGATCATTAGCTTTATCATTTTCCGATATTTATCGAACGCGTGAAATTTAAATTAACGGTAGAGATGCACGGTAAATTTAATAATGGTTAGGAGGGGGGGGGGGGGAAGAGTAAATACATCACAATAGAAAAATTTATTGAAGTCAGATTTGTCTCAATACCGCCCACGTATTCACATATTCTGCTCATGAAACTTGTGATCAAAAAGGTACGGTTCCATTAATATGTTTGATGGCTTGCACCCTGTAACTCAGACACCATTGACATTTTGACCTTCTGGACTCGGGGCTTAGATCAAAATGGTGTAAACGATATCGTAAAAATATCAGCCAATTTGACCAGAAGTTACTTTCCATGAGGATTGTAATGATTTCATACCGTCAAAGGATGTGTAAAAGATGTGTGTGAAAATCGGCAGACATCAGACATGGAATAGATGGGCCAATTCGGCATTACAGGAGATACTAAGTTTCTAATCAGTACCCAAGGAAATCATAAAATCATACTGGTGTCTGTCATAAGCTCATATACTTTTCGAATTTATCTAGCTGAACACTATTGATATTAGAACCATAGTTCAACGATGGTTTTGATCAGAATATGCCATCCAGATTTCAAGAAAATGAAAAGATCATATATCAATATATGTAAAATGTAGAATTCTACGATATTTTCTCGTAATGTGAAAAAGAAGTACGTACATGTTTTGTGGGTCAATAGTGAAAATCTTATTATATTATATTAAAATTCATTTTATCTTACTTACCTTGGAAGGGAAAAATAGCGCATTCTTGAATTCTTTCAGCTGAACAGAGATTATGAATGTTCCGAAAAATAGCAGAACAGACATGAGGAAAACATCTGGTACAGCATTTGGCGTGAAGCAACTGTCTGATATCGTGCCATTGAGTTTCTAAAAACAATTGCGATTAGTTGCCATCTTCAGACGATTTTTCGTATGTGAAACTTACCAGACAAAGTGCTTCGTCTGCTATACTTGTTTGGTTTAAACCTGGATTCCCTTCAAATATACAAAGACATTCTGATGACTGACTGTAATCTTTCGAACTCGATCCTATTGGATACTTATTGCCTATCGCTAAGACATTTTCTATAGCCTGAAAATAACATTTTTTTAAACGTATGTTCTATTCCAGTTTTCCAAAGCTCGGTACTCCGTTCGTACCGAAACCTCTTAGAATCCCCAAATAGAAGCGGATTCAGAGGGAAATCGTGGCGGGGGTGTGGGGGTTGGCAAATGAAACGTAATTATGTGTGGTTAAGAAACAATATCATCGAAAATGCGAATATTAGCAGCAATTTTAGACATTCAAATTGATTCGATGCTTGCTTATTTTAGAAAATATTTCCAATACTTCTTCCAATGTTACCGCAGTGTTGTAATTTCAATTAACCCGTTGAGTCCTTGTACTTCTATCTTTCTAGGCAAACTATTGGTAGGTGGTGTTGGTCACCTACTTGCGCATACCTATGTTTCTTTTTCCGGTAATCTTTTGAAGTCTCACCCAATCCCCCCTGTATCCGCCACTGCTTATAAATAATAGAAACATACACCATTTTCCTTTTAGGGAAATTTCTCCATTCTCAAACGTGCCTTAACTTGCCAACCTCCCTCGTAATGATTCCCAAGATTTTTCAATGACTAAAAAGATTTCATAATCTTCAGTCCGAGACGTGTCAACTCTGAGATCTAAAGGAGGTGAACCGAAGATATATGTCTGAGTTCAAAGTGGGTATAACTGGTGGGGACGCCTCGGTACGTAAGCTTACTTTCGAGTAGGATCTGCTTTCAATTGGATTGTATATATTGTATATAATTTCTGGAAATGTACGGTTTTACTGACCTTATATATGAATATAAATGCAATTAAAGCTGCAAAACTCTCTTCAGTAAACCTCGTGATGTAGCACACGAATGCGCTAGCATCTGTTGCAACCAATATAAGTAGAATAACAGCTATCCATGTTCCTATCCAAAAGCGAAACGATAGATAGTCCCAGCCAGTCTTTAGACAGAAGTCATATACAATTGTTTCGAATACTAGTACTGGTCCTGTAGATCCTAATATCGTCAATGGTTGGCCAGAGAAAAAACCATATCTGTAAGAAAAAATGACATGGATAACCTTGGCCTCTCAGTATAAGTACATTTAGAATGTTTTCGGAGGTGGAGCTAAGTAATACGGCCATTTGGACCGCATTTAAAGCATTTTAATCTTCAGTTATCGGTCAAGTCAGAAATGTAAATATGATCATGCTTTTGATACGCCTATGGGTTGCTGAAGTCGAGAGCGGCAGTGTCCATATACATTATACAGGGTTACAGGATAAGTCGACCTAGTTCCGTTAAGGGTGTGTAGTCATCATTTCTGACCGTTTTCAAGATATTCAGGTTTTAATTTTTTTTTAAATGGCCGATTTTTCGGCTATCAAAGTAGATATTTTGAAATATGTGACTGTTATTATTATTATTATTATTATTATTATTATTATTATTATTTAATTTAACATATAGAATAAGATGCTTTATGACCTCAGTAACCAAAATTGTACGTAAGGTAACTAAATAGGTCGTTGTAGACGATTGAAAGCTAAAAAAGTTAGTACAAATTTAAAAAGTTTAGCTCTTACAGTATATCTCAAAAAAATATGGCACCTGCTTTGCAGATGTGCTTAAAAATATCTACGTTTTATCAGCTATCCAACGAGGTATAAAAATCTAGCGTTTTATTTAAACTCGTATAAAAAACATAGTTGAAAAGGCTCAGGTAGCAGTTCTAATAGTCCCTCTACTATTGTTCTTCTAGTTAAAGCGGTGCGTGCGAGCGAGACAACTTACGATTTATGCTGGTGTGAGGGAGAAAAATAATTAGCAGAAACGGATTTGTGAATACAAAACGACATTGTTTTGTGTTTGGCTGTTTGCTAGTTATTGTTAGTTAGTCTGCTTATGTGATCCCTCCATGGTAGATGCGATTTTATTTTGCTTTCTGTTTCCTACTCGACTTTGCTTTGTTTCTGGACTGATTTGTCCAATTGTGGCTACTGTGCTTGTTTACTGAACTCTGATAGGGAACTGTTGAAGATTACAACCTGCACGAACGAGGAATATGCTGATATTTTGATTTGCTACGGATACTTCAACTATGTGCAAGCTCGCAATAAACACGTAAGACGCTATCCCAGCCGTCGAGTGCTGGATGTGAGCGTGTTCGACGGAGTTTATCGACGACTTCGAGAATCTGGCTCTGTTTCAAGACGACCTACAGTCTTGGGAAGACCACGTGTCATTGATAATGACGAAGAACAAGATAGTGAGATAGTGGAACGATTTAGATTAGATCCAACCACTTCCACAAATATTGTTGCCCGTGAACTGGGACTCTCTCAATAGAAAGTGCGGTTTACAATACATACAGCAGGCCTATACCCATACCATTAGAGGCCGGTACAAGCTATCTAAGATGGAGATCCGCGAGAAGGTTCGATTCTGCAGATTTATGTTAAATGCTGTTGTAAATAGAAGACCTGACTTTCCTTAAATTTCCTCAAAATTTGATAAAGATGGGATTACGAATTACCACAACGCTCACTATTGGACCCCAAAAGAACAAGCAAATCTCAATAAGAAGAGAGTAAAGGATTCACAACGTAGATTGAGCGTGAATTTGCGGACGGGCATCATTTCAAATCATTTGATTTGACCTTACTTTCTCCCAGATAATTTAAATATCGAAGACTACGGAAACTTCCAATCTCCATGGCCCAGGCCATCTGAATTTGGTTTCGTAGAGCCTCCAACGTTTGTGGAGGGTGCGGTGAATTTTGCAACCTTCTTCAAATCATGTCCCATGCATGTTCGATAGGGGAAAAGTCGAGGAGGCCACTAAAGCAGATTTACTCCGGACGCTTCTAAAAAGTCTAAACTAACACGTGCGACATAAGGTCGTGCAGTGTCCTGCGAAAAAGTGGATCTTGCAATGTTTCCAAAAAGGAAAGCAGATGTGTTCACGTAGCCCGATTATCCGACCCCACTCAAACTCGGAAAGGCGAGTCAAATTAGCGCGTCTGCGAGCTCTCGGCGTGTTAATGCAATGAAACAAATGAAACCAACATAGAAAAATCACTTATTATTAAACAAACGTGTTCATGATGTGCGGATCCCGATATAACAAGAAAGCCTTCACAAAGAAGTACGGCTCGTAATGCCTTCAACATTTTATTAGCGGATACTTCCATGATAGCAAATATGTTTACGAGTTTATATCAAAATTCAATAAATAATTCTGGGTGTTGCATTTTATATGTCACTTAGTATATTTGTTCTCAAATCCGCTATTTGTAAATTGAAAGTCTTGCTAGACGTCACTGAGTTTTTCCAGAGCATTGTGCCACATGTGATGGACGATGAGACTGCCTTAATTCAAATAATTGTGTACACAGTCTAGAATATAAATAATAAATGTAAGATGTCCAGTTTAGTCTTGTAACTCTTGTATCAAAATCTATACCTAGAAATTTTACTGGTTCAAATTTCACTATCCACCTGTAAGGAAAATGTGTTATGAAGTGTGTTGTTTTCATTTAGCGATAACTTGTTGGCTAAAAACCATCTATTGGCTTGTTCCAGACTATCCATAGCATTGGTCATGTTTAGACAGAGTCTGCAAATAGGAATCAGGATCTATCAATGCTCAAGGATAGATCATTGGCGAGGCGTGCTTTGCTGCGGTACATCTGTTGGGAAGCCACAGACGCCATTACGGAACCATCCGATCGAGTCTACATCTGTTTGCGTGATTTTGAAATGCCTCCACCGATTGAGATTCCCGCCAACTGTGAAGCGCGTGCTGTAATACGCTTTCTCTGTGCTCAAGGCTTCAAATCAGTTGACATTCATCACCAAATCAGCGAAGTGTATGGTGAAAATATTATGAGTGACGGACTGGTGCGGAAATGGGTTAGGGCCTTTAAAGATGGCCGCACAAACATTCATGATGAGGAACGAGGTGGGAGACCTTCAGTCATTACCGATGACCTGATTCAAAGAGTGGACTGTACAGTGAAAGAAAACAGACGATTCACGATTTCGTCCTTAGCTGAGCAGTTTCCTGATGTCTCAAGAAGTGTTCTTTACGAAATTGTGTCCGAACGTTTAAATTATCGGAAATTGTGTTTACGCTGGGTGCCAAAAATGTTGACTGATGAGCACAAAACCAAAAGATTGGGCAGTGCATTGAGTTTTCTCGGACGATACAGTAACGAGGGAGATGATTTTCCTACCCATATTGTCACAGACGATGAAACATGGGTAGCCTACGTTACACCGGAATCGAAGCAGCAATCAATGGAATGGCGGCATTCATCATACCCAGGAAGGTAAAATTCAAAAAAACCATTTTTGCTCAGAAAATCATGTGCACTGTGTTTTGTGACAGAAAGGGTGTGTTGCTGGCCAATTTTTTGACTCGCGGCGACACGATCAATGCAGCAGCGTACTGTGAGACTGCGCCGCGCAATTCAAAACAAAAGGCGTGACATGCTGAGTGCAGGTGTCGTTTTGCTCCACGATAATGCCCGTCCACACACAGCAAATTGAACACAAGACCTTGTCACTTCTTTTGGCTTGGAACAATTAGACCACCCTCCCTACAGACCCGGTCTAGCGCCGAGCGACTACCATTTGTTTATGCACTTGTTGAACCATTTGGCGGGCCATTCCGATGATGACGAAGTGAAAACGACTGTGAAGCAGTGGTTGTCTACTCAGGCGGCAAGCTTCTTTGACGATGGCATACAAAAGCTGGTCCCAAGGTACGATAAATGCCTCAATCGTAATTTGAATTACGTAGAAAAGTAAAGTATGGCCTTTCAAGTGAATACATTATTTTTGGACAAAATTTACTTGTTGTTTTTTTATGTCAAAACGGTACTTACTTTACAAACACGCCTCATATATTAGAAATAGCAAGGGGCTAAGTACTGATCCCTGCGGTATCCCATTGCAAATGGGCAAAAATTCAAAGGCAGTTCCCTCAGAGCTCACATACTGTTTCCTACTTGACAGATCCGAACGAATACAAATTTTCGTTGGTTTTAGATGGCTGATTTTTACTCCAAAATCATATTCGTATTCAGCGTCAGACAACACCTGACTTACCCCATTCCACAGACAAATCCAGAAACTAAAGATTCCATAGCTGCCATATTTCGACCTGTTGCCTCAGCCAAAAGTCCTCCAAAGGTGATGATTGGTGATAGACATGCAAAGTACAAAAAGATCCAGGAGGCTATGCATTGCATAGCAAATGCATCTTTGAAGTCGGACCAATACCATGGTGCTTTTCGTTTGACGTCGTTTACCAGTCCACCTACAAAAAAATAGCGTCAAGAAAGTTGACACCCCACAAAACGCTGTCATCAGTTCATAAACGATTATGTTAGATCCTCTGAGAAAATATATAGTTAGCTACGAACATGTAAAACAGGGAATCAAGTCAGTTAAACAGTCCGATATAATTAGCCCATAGAAATTTTCCCTGCCCTACCTCTAGTACCGTCCATCTGGCAACGTCGCCGTTACCTCCATACCTCACCACTCGATGAAATCACACGTCAGTTTCGGCTAAAAGGTGCGTAAAATTACTGGGGCTGGAAACCCCAAGAAATTGAAATATATCCTCCTCCACCCCAACAACTCCAATTTTCAACTTGAAAAAATTAATAAAAATGGTCAGGGTCTTCAGAAACGTCAAAAAAAGAATTTTGTGTGCAAAGTTTTTTCGTCCTGGCTTAGACATGACCATGCGTGAAAACCACCATCAAAAACCGAGTAGTATTTTTTAAGTTATAGACTGGCGAAGGATTAGCAGATAGACCGACGGAAAACAGTGAAATGGTTTTTTGTGGTGTACATGCCATATAGCCTCCAAAAAATATGGTATTCCATTTTCAAAATTATTCACGATTACACTACTTCTAATTCCTCGCCAGTAGAAGTATTTTTTTTTTTAGAATTCATAAAACTTTTGTTGGAATTAACGTATAAAAAACAGTTATTTATTATACAAGGGAAATCAGTAATGCGCGTCGTGAGACAATACAACCTCAAGCTAAAATCTAGTATTTTTCCCGTGTATTATACACAATTTTTTTCTGTGATGGGAAAAACGACGATTTAATATTCAAAAATTATATTATTACAATATTTAAGTCAGAAAACTATCGATGTGAAATTTGAATTTTGACATTAGTAGGCTATGTGCCTTGCTAAGGAGACTTTTGAAGTAATCAAATAGCTGTCCATTTAATTTTGTGATTTGATTTAGGAATTCTGAACTTAGTGGTTGTTTAGAAGTTATTTTTAATACTATAAACTAAAAAATTTCTGATTCTGAGTTTTCTTTGACTCCACTGAAATTACTTTTTTCCCCGGGAAAAAAAAATTCCCGGATATTGATGGCTTTTGTTGTTGTGCCAATTCGGAAAATGACCCAATAACGCCGTCTCCGACAAGGAACTGCATGTTCATCTTCCATTCCATGAATCTTGAATACGCGGTTTCGTAAATTTTCCGCGATTTAGCTGGCAATAATTTTTGTGACGCTACTTTGGCTACTTCTACTAATTCCGGTGGAGACAAAGAAATCTTGGAATCACACATTTTTTACTTTATTGTATGAAAAATAACTTCTAAGCAACCACCAATTTCACAAATTTTAAATCAAATCACAAAATTAAGTTGACAGCTATTTGGTTACTTTAAAAGTTTTCTTAGCAACGCAGGTCTAATTGTCATTATAAGTACAACATAGCCTACTAAATCGTCGTTTTCCCCGTCACAGAAAAAAATTGTGTATTATACACAGGAAAAATACTAGATTTTAGCTTTCGCTGCTGTGTGAGAAAATCATTATATATATATATATATATATATATATATATATTAGCTGTGATCGACGGGTTATTTATATATTGTCATTTCTAAAGACAGGTTATGTTCAAAGTTATAGATTACGATTTTTTTTTCTTTTTTTTGTTTTCAAAAACTTGAGGAGAACTATGGGAAATCACCACCGTGCCCGCTTTGTGTGTAATTACTGTTAGCATATATATGACTTCTATGTATTCGACAGTGTACAGTGAATATAATCATTTCTTATCTCTCTCATTTTTTAAATTCAGCAAATTTGCAAATGTAATTTTCAGAATGGATAAGAAAAAATGGATGCTTTGAATCTCAAGTAAGTGTATTTAAGACAAGAATCCAATAAAATTATCATCACACAAATTAGCACACAAATCCTCACTATGCACGTATGCATTGCCGTTTCCTTCTAGCTATAGTATAGAACTTACAGCTTAGACCTCCAGTAGATTTTACATCACATCAGAGCCAAACATTGATTAACTGAAGCCTCATGACGTTTAGGCAACACGTAAAACTACAAAACGAGTTCACAAGTGTCCATCAGCTAATGCTCAGTTAACATCTTGTAGGAAAACTTATACATAATTTCAAAATAAACCAATACAATGTCAAAAAAATCGACATAACGTCACTTTTCAAGATACGTAATACCCGTGGTATTATCACTATATAATTCGTTGAGTTTTCATATTCTAAAAAGGAATCTTATTTTGGTTTTATGGTAACCAAGAAAAACTGATTTTATTATAGTAGCTATTATGCTAGATATATGGTGAGGTTCAAGTTGGGCTGACGTTGTAGTCAAATTGGGCTGACGTTGTAATGTGTACGAGAGAAGCACGATAAGCGTGGGAAATGCATCTTAGAAAGAGTGCACCGATGGCTTCCGTGACCTCGTACTCGGGCTGCTAGGCATCGACGTGCTTCTATCTCTTTCTACACACGTATTGCGTGCTGGTCGCACTTCTCTACGACATCAGTGGTATTTAGTTTTCAGGGTATGCATCAAACACAATAATCATTTATAATATGAGGACGCCTACAATAACTTCAAATCGCTTAGAAACCGTGCTCTTAACATGATCAGGAGGGACAAAAAGACATGTATCGAAAACTTGGCAAATGAAAATGGTTCAAAAAAATTGTGGAAGTCTCTCAAACAACTTGATATAAATTTTCGTAGTAAACCAACCCTTCCAGCAAGTTTTAATGGCCCTACCAAAATTAATGATTATTTTATGTCTGTTTATAGCTACAAACCTGTTGATTCACTAGTTTGCGAGAACTATATGTATTTCAAGAATAAATTAAGCTCTGAATACCTATATTTTTTCATTGAATAAGATTAGTTCAAATGACGTATTACAGGCAATAGGGAGCCTAAAATCTGATGCGAAGGGAATTGATGGTATATCCCTGTCAATGATCCAGCTTTGCCTGCCAGTTATTATCCGTCACATCATCCACATTTTTAACGACTGTTTGGAAAAAGGCTACTTTCCAAACACATGGAAACAATCTCTAATTATTCCAAAAAATGAAACCCACTGAGTATAATGATCTCAGACCTATCAGTTTATTACCAACGTTATCCAAAATTTTAGAAAAGATTGACCACTTACCTAGAAAAATTCTTTATACTTTCCGACACCCAATCCGGTTTTAGAAAAAATTATAGTACATCTGCCCTACTCAATCTGCAAGACAATATTTTAAGTGACTTAGATAAGAAAATGGCACTAGCCTTAATCTCTATAGACAATTCGAAAGCCTTTGACAGCATCAATCATAAATTATTACTTGCTAAATTAAATTACATAGGTCTTGACAGTGTATCCCTTTCATTTTTCGACACTTACCTTCATCAAAGAACTCAGTGTGTTTTTCTCAATCAAGAAATGTCTCAAGTGACAATAGTTCCCTCAGGCGTACCTCAGGGCTCTGTATTGGGGCCGCTCCTGTTCCTCATATATACGTTCGACTTAAGCAAAAGTATTGATAATTCTCATGTCCAGTCATTTGCAAACGATACGCTATTGTCCATTATTTTAACCCTGATAATCTCAATAAACTACTGAAATTTTACAAAACGATGTTAGTAAATTAATTAAATACTCTTTAGATCACAATCTACTTATTAATCCACAAAAATCTAAAATGTTATTATTATGCGCACAAAGAAAAACATACAATGTAAAACAGCTGTTGAACATTCAGATAAATAACCAAATCTTGCAATTTTCTGATTCTGCAAAAATGCTTGGTGTTGTTTTTGATACAAAATTAAGGTTTATTGAACATGTTAAAAGTATATCCCAGAAAACCTACCTACGGCTGCGTACTCTTATAGCAAACAGGTATTTACTAAATTTTAAGTTGCGTAAAAAACTATGTGAAGCATTGGTCATATCTATACTAAATTATTGTAATATCGTATACTATACTTGTTTAGACAATTTCACTAAAAACGTTATTCAAGTTATTCAAAACAATTGTATACGTTTCATCTTTGGCTTACGTAAATTTGATCATGTGTCAGCGAAATATCCCGTTCTAAACTGGTTAAAAATTAATGACATGGTCAAGTATCACTATTCAGTTTTTGTTCACAAGTTGCTACTCACGTCTAAACCTTATTATTTGAGGGAAAAATTCCCCAGTGTACCGAGCTGTATTAGCTTGCAACAACAGGTGACGACAATACAAATTTTGCTTTGACAAACTTTAAAGTTTTTCAAGATTTCTTGCATATCCCCAATCTTGACCAAATTGCGTTTTTTGTGTAAATAGTTGCATAGATGAAGTGTCGGATATAAGGCTTCTGGAGAGAATAGCGGAAGGTCAAAAAAGACGGATTCTTCTGCACCCACTGCTTTGCCAAGTTTTCTCAAGTATGTGGACTACTTTATAACTAGTTCAAGACTCGAATTACGTTTTGCCGTCTCAATACTAACCAAAAAGCACCCCCGTCCTGGCCAACCCCATTTCCTCTCTCAGTTTCTGCTCGACCTCCTCCTCGTCTTCCCCTTTTCCCTGTTTATCCTGAGGGGGCGGTTGGGGCCTTTTCCTGGTATCCTGCGACGGTACCGCAGGGGGTGGTTCTATCCGGATTGCCGGATCCCACTCGCCAGGGGGCAACACTGTCACGGCGTCCAGGAACTCATCTACGGCGGCCAATAAATGCGATCGGTTGCGGGCCCGATACGCTACCTCGTGGAACACCTCGTCGGACATTAAGGTGGCCATGGCGCGGCCGATTTCGTGGTAGCCTGTTGACGAATTTGATTTTTTGTTTGTATTAACAGTATAGTATGCGTATACAGGGTGTTCAAAAAGTTTACAGACCTATCTCAGAAAATGCTGCTCTAACGAAAAATGTCAGAGTAACAGTTGCTCGAAAAAAAGAGCCAATAACTTTACGTTCTAAAATCATTTTTACCATGTGTGGAAAGCACCTCTGGAAAGTCTGATTTACATATAACATTATGAAAATATTATAAACTGTTGCATATTAAGATAGATAGTATGCACCTATCATCACAGTTGAATTTCAGCGCACCACCATTGGGGCTTAGGTCGTACCCATATTTTAAGTTAGATCGCAGCAATACACATTCTTAATTGTCTTGCATACAATCTGATTTTCATATCATTAGTGACGAATGTGATGTAATGCTGACTGTCTGATCTTTTTGTTGGATAAATCAGCTGAAGCTGAGCTTAAGATATGTAGACATACAGGGTGTTAATTAAATATGTACCATGAATTCCACAGTAGATTTTTTGAATAATTTTAAGAAAAAAGTTCATATTAACATAGGTCCACAAATTCTTCGTTCTCAGATACAGGGTGTTGAAATTAAAAAAAAAATGGTTTTTGGTAAATATCTTAAATATCCTTTACCCAATTTTGTTATAATTTGGCGATGATATTTATAACATCGAGGAGCTAGTTTGGCCCTAGCTTCATTAAATTTATGAAGCCCAGTGGCGTCTCAAGCGGGATCTGAACGAATATTTGTGACAAAAAAATGTACGCCACTGACTTTTGTGCAATTTTTATTATGTTCTTTGGTTTAAGCAAATAGAATTACCACTTTTTTGTCTCCTGATCTTCCATAGTTTTCAAGAAAAAAAGTCCACACAAGGAATATGGGGAAAAGTTTCTTTTGGAAACTACTACTCTTACTGTAAATTGAATGGATTTCTGGTTGGCAATAAAGCATTATTATCATTATGATTATCAAAATAGAAGTTGTTCATAAAAATTACTTCTTATTTTGAACCATATTTTTTCAGGTAAGAGAGGGTGTTGCAATTTAGCAAGAGACCAAGCCTAGACCATGGTGATGAGTAGCCAAGAAGTACGAACAACTGTCCATGGTTGGCTGCCTTTTTGGTTGGACAGACGAAAGCATCATGCTTAATTGTTTAAAAAACTTATATATTAGACACCACAACTCCTGTATAAAACAAAACAACAAACAAAATTTCTATGTAATAAAAATCAATACTATGACAATATCGCAACTCCAATTACACCCCTTTTTTGGGATCCAGTACCTCTGCAAGCACACATTACACAGAAACAATCGTGTTTTGTTTTGCCAGTTGTACAAACTCAATCTGAACGGATCTTAAAACCCCAGTTTGTTTTCGTTGTTTGCGACTTACTTGAAGTGTGCGAACTTGGTCCAAGGAGAATAAAAAGAAACCTAGTAGGAATCGGTACTTCAGTGAGATCACCTAGAATACTGGCTTTGTTCAATCGAACGAAAGCGGAAATCGGTTTTTCAAGAAAATCCACTTCGCCGACTAGAATGTTGCTAGCTTCTGATCCTGGAGGAATCTTCTTCATCAAGGAGAGTTTGGTGTCCATGGTGTCCAGCTCATTGGAGCTTGCGTTGCAGTTTATTGATATATAGCTGGCGCTCTTTGCTATTTTCTGGGATCTGTGTGGTTCTGGGGAAGGAAGAAACATCAAGAAATGAGTCGCAATAATAGAAAAAATAGTGTAAAGCATTATTGTATTCAAGAAGTCGTGAGTGATCTCATAATAAGCATAATGAAGTTCATGCCTGGACTATACTGAAATGATTTCTATTTTGCCCGATTTATTTATACAGGGCGTCCTTAGCATTGACACATTCCTTTACACAGCGCACAATTCTTGCAAAAAAAAAACAAATTGTCCTAGTAACATATACATCAACGTTTTTAAGATAACGAAGTTATTAGGCTACGAAAAAATCTGCCTCCAGCAAAGACTTAAGTGAAAGGATATGACGTGTGTCCGTATCCGACCTAGAAGTCCGCGTCGTGCAGGTAAGCTGTTGGTTATATAAATTGAATTTGAATAAAACAAAATGGTATTCTATAAAAATAACGAACTTATCGATTCAATGTTAGCTTACTGTGAACGTCTTCAAGATGCTGCTGATGGTTTGCTAGTGTATTCAGGTCCTTTCCCTGAACAATTGTTGCAAATTGAGGAGGAAGTTAACAAGAAGGTGTTAGAAGGGATAATATACGAACAAATCGTTGAATCCATTGAAGAAAACAAAATTTTGACAAAAAATGAAGCTGGATTTAGCAAATAATATTCTACAGAAACATCAATCCAAATGGTGGTAGAAGACTGGAGAAGAAGTATCGATGAGAAAGAATGTATTGTGACAGTATTTTTAGACTTCAAAAGGGCATTTGAGACTATAGATAGGGAAACATTGTTGATCAAATTGCGTCACTGTGGTTTTAAAAAATCAGTAATAAACATTCTACAAAATTATTTAGTAAATAGAAGTAAAAAAACTACAGTTGGGGATATTATTTCAAGCATTCAAAATATATCAGTAGGGGTGTCACAATGGCCGTTATATATATATATATATATATATATATATATATATATTATATATAATTATATCTCTGACATTTCAGAACACTGCAAAATTCAAATATTTGCGGACGATACATTGATATACAAGTATATAGCACATAAGTATTTGCTTTAGAACTACCAAATAGTGATATTAAAAAAATTATGAATTGGTTAAATTTCATGTGTCTAGTATAAAAGCTTAAAAAATTGAATCCAATCTTGCACCAATATACAGGGTGATGCATTAGAAATTTTTGTGAAAAACTACAATTTACGTTTTGCACCCTGTATAAGCAAAACTGAAAATTCGAAAAAGTAACAAATAAGATAAAAGCTGAGGTGTGTAAATTTTATTGAAACAAAATTCAGTACTCCAAATTTCAAAATGGCGGATTGAGGGGTTGCCGAAGTGGACGGTTTTTCTGGACAAATCACCTTACATCTCAGTAGCTAATTACCAAAATCCCATGGTATGTTCTATCAATCTTCTTCTTTTGAATTGGTTTATCCAAATATGCAATAAAATTTGAAGCATTCCATTTAAAAAATCACAACTTTCATATGTAGGGCACGTGTTGGATAATGTGGAGGTTATCAGTGAAAAAAAAGATGAAATCTCGGGGGAATTTTCAATGATAGTTTCGAAATCTCCAAATTTCTCTAAAAATCAATCAACGCTTATTTCTAAAAAAACCTTTCTAAATGATTTGCCATTCAATAATAAAATAATTCCGTCCTAATCGAACCTCATCAGTCCAGTTTTTTTTCGTCGACTATGTGTTCCCTTCACTGTTGTTTTAAAAACAATTTCAGCAACAATCTCGCCGACTTACTTGAGACGATGAAGACATAGATCTTTGAAAGCTTGAGAGTTTAAGTTATAAGAGTGTACTTTTGCAATACTTTGCCTTCTAACCAAAGAAATTAAAGGATATCTTCTCCTAACGGTTAAGGCAATTAACTATGAATACTATGAATACTATATATATATATATATATATATATATAACAAAAAATAGGAAAATAATGGACAAAATCCGCAAAAATAAGGAATGAATGCACATATGCAACTACAAAAGTAGATACACACGCCCATACATCCGGATACGGGTGCATTCCAAAAAGCTTGTGTATAACACTATAATCATTTCCCATTTTTATATTATTCAACCATCTTATTTACAGCAAATGGAAACATATTTTCAAAATTACAAATTCTACAAAAAAAGCTATGAGAATTATTTTAAACAAAAATAAATTTGCTAGGATTAAGTCTATGTTAGAAGAACTACAGTGGTTAAATGTACAAAATTTCCATGTTATTTAGTTCTCATTTCCATTTTCAAATTAAAAAATCATTTATTACCACCAAATTTACAAAACTTCACAAAATTAAATAGTCATTATCATAACTACGAAACTAGAGGCAGTATAGATTTTTATCTGCAAAATTGCATAAATATCAAATCTGTACTTATATTAGACAGTGTTCGAATTTAAAAATATTCAATGTGAAATCAAAAAATCACTTTATAAATTCTCAAAATACATAATGTAATTTTAATAGACACGAACGTAAAATTATCGAAAATGAATTCCAAAGAATGTGTAAACGAATAATTGTGCAAAATTGACATTGTAGCATTAATTCTAAATAAATCTCCAACAAAGAAACTTGTTCTGAATCGAAATGCGGCGACTTAAATTTTAAAATTTATGAGTAACATGCGGTACTATAAATTTATTATTTAATTAATAGATAGTTATTTTTTCTTTTTTTTACGTTTTACGCGGCCATTTTAACAAACACTGGCTTCCGTATTTATGAGGAGAGTTCCGAATTTCAGAACACCCTGTGTTTTGATTTCAATGTCTGTTTAGCCTTATTTTACATTTAAAGTTACAGAAGAATAATGTTAAAGCGCAATCATACTTAAAAGAACGACCTTAGAGATACAAGAGGTGATAGATCACAAAGGTGACACAGTGCAAAAATCAATAATAAAGCTGAAGAAAACGACCATACCTGTACACACCAAAAATGATAATAAAAATAACAGTCAAGTTTATTGCATAAGTAATATCTAAGTGTAATCATATTTTAAAAAGCAGAACCTAGAGATACAAGAGACCACGAAGAAGTGCAATTATAGAGAACAAAATAAATAATAAAAATCAACCAAAAGTTTAACAGACGGTACAGAAAATTATATACGAGAAACAAATAAAAAAAACGTACATACCAAAAATGATATATAGGATAAACATAACAGTCAAGTTGATCACCTTGTACAGAAAAAATAAAAGGCAAGTAAAACTTTTCGACAGTAGTAAAGGTGCTAAAGAAAATAGTAAACGACAACAATCATGCAGAATTGACTTTTATTGATTTACCCTGTCCAGGAACTCCCAAAAATTTGTTTCCTAGCTGAGGTTCTGAGTACATTTGTTCATCGACTGTAAGAGAAGTTAAGTTGCTAAATTGTGCATATCGACAGACAATCAGACCACGTAACAAGAAATGGTAGGCCCTATTTTGTTTGCTGTCAAAGTTACTACGCTTCCACCCCATTATAGGGAAGCGCCCACCTCCTAAAGAAGGGACCTCAGTGCTGTTTACCCTTCACCAACAAAGAATATAAAATAGATGTATAGATTGTTCGAAAAACTGTACCAAAAGCTACCATATATTTCATGTGCTTGTGTTCGTGGGATAAAATTACGAGGCAATGAACACTCACGGGTATAATTAAACGTTTGAACAAATTTACATAAAAATTAGCATTCGTCCCACGGCATTTCTAGGCGATCAATGTAATGTCGTAGAAATGAATACCAATTGTTGCAAAATTGAACTTATGCAGATTTTTATTGAGCGTATGATGGGATGCATAAGCATTTGCAATTACTTAACAGTCGTTTAATATAATATCCACAGCTTGAAAACATCGTTATAAAACAATGTATTAAGTTATATTCCAAAACAGTAAACAGGTATGTGAAGCGAAGTCAAATTTATGCATCCCTTAACGAATCTAAAAACCATTTTTCCAGCAATCATATATTCAAAATAATTGGGTTAACAAGAATCAAAATCCTTAAATAGTGTTTCTGTTAAAACTTACCAACGTTATTTAAATTAAGATGACCCTGCATTGTCAACGCATAAGAGCATGATATTTTTTATATACGATGATAAAAATTCACTTATCTGAGTTTTAAATAACAAGCATATTGATTGCATACATCATCAGGATAGTTGAGACGCGAGTACCTACTTTTTGATGTAGAGTGATTTCTCATTTCATTGAATGATCTGATGAATGGTAGTCCATGATGTTTCTTCTGTTGAAGATGCCGATGCTTTTTAAGTAAAATTTCTCTAACCTGCAATGAAGAAACTGATAAGTTTAAGATGCATACGTTAAGCCTTAACGATTAAGGTATGACTTTGCAACAGTTTTGGTGTGTATGGTCAGCTAAGCTGAATTAAGAATAAGCGTTCTGTAAAAAATTTCTAACATTTATCTCTTCTATACCTACCATTTGTCTTTTTTCTACCGCCATACAATTATTGTTAATCACATTGTCCAATACTAGATCAGCAATTTGTTCAACAGTAATAGCCTCCATGTCGAGTATGACACTTCCACTGAGTATAAGACTACGTAGTTCGAATAAAGAATGAAGGGATAACGTAGCTACGTGAGGTTTCGACCATCTATTTCCACCTTCTTCTACATCTTCTTCGAATTTTATCCACCTGAAACCAATAAACAATCATCAAAGGGACTCTAAAACAATGACATCTGTGCAAATCACATATATATTGTTTTTCAGAAAGTCCCCTACCTAATCTTTGAATGGGTCAAGTTAGCAAGCTGAAATTTGAGATTACAAAATTCCATTTTACAAATTTTCCGGGATGGCGACTTGGATTTTTCTAGTGTTGTTTTTACATAAGCATGTGGTATTTTAACTCGCTAGCTTGACCCATTCAAAAAAGAGTTTAGCTCCTTGTGGAGCCCCACTAAAGGTAATGTCATTGACAAGTACTCAAGACAAGAAGCACCATAGGGTGTTCCAGGGAAACTTGCCAATATTTCTAAAGTAGAAAGTACATCCAAAAATGGCAAAACAGTCCTATAAATAGGTCTTGGAATGCTTCATTACCAGTACAGGGTTTTGTAAGCTTCTACCCTACTGATGAGACACTGAATAAGGACAAAACATCAACGTTATTCAAATAGCATTATGCTAAGTTAGGATTACTTTTCTCATGCACTATATACAATTTTCAATGTTAATATTCAGTACCGTCATAAGTTTTTTTTTTATACTTCAACTACCACGAAGGCCTAAGGCCTAAACACCCATTGGGTACCGTGGGGCTATAGGGGGATACAGGGGAAAGGGGAACGCCACACGGACTCTGGCGAGGGAACACGTGTGCATGCAACATGCACACATTCTGGCTCCGCCTACGAGATCCGCGGGGTGGTACCTCCACGTTCGACAGTCAGAGACCGTCTACCACCTACGGACTATCACAACATCCATAGCCAAGAGAAAAATTTCTCCTGGGACGGGACTCGAACCCGCACAGCGCACGGCGACTGATCAGGAGACCGAAAAGTCTACTACTGCGGCAACCGCTGCTGCCTAGTAGACATAAGTGTATTTGCAAAGTAGAATGGTTTCAATTTCTTTATACATTCAAACTCATTATTCCCAAAAGGAGTAGTCTGCTGAAAGTTTCTCAAGAGAAGCGATTAATGTAAAATTGAATTCCTTATTCAAAAATCCAATAGATGTTTTAAAGAAGTCAATGACGTAGAAAATAATTTTCTTTTGTTTTTTTAGGCTCAAAATGTCCCGATTTGTACGCCACTGAGTCTTAGACGCGGACATTTTTGAACGTATTGGCTATGATATCAGTACTAAATGTACAAAATTTCAAGTGAATAACACAATACACTATAAGGATATAATTTAATTTTGATTTTGAAATTATAATTTCAACACCCTAAATCGCGGTAAGGGACCATTTTAGGACGCTGTATGAATGCATCGTGTTATTTTTTACCTACTTCATGCCCTAGAAATATTACCACGTTTTTCCGAAAAAACTCAGTCTCTTTGCTAAACGATGTCGTGTTGGTAGTATTTTTTATATTGAAACAGCCACGGAGGCAAAACCTAAAAATTGAGGTACCACAAATGGCGCGAAAAAGCTATTCATCTTCGAGGGACTTTCCTTCTTCTCCTTCGTTCCAGCAGGTGCTGCGGTTCGTAAATCATTTCGGACTGTAGCTGAAACCATCAGTCATGCTGGGAATCATCACTCCAAAATAGAATAAAAAAAATTAAAAACGTCAAAAAACAAATTTGAGCTGATGCCGATACCACTAGATGACGTCATTTTCCAAGGTTCTTTTTCTGTATGAAAGGGAAAGTATACCAGATCACAACATGTTTGTACTCACGTGAAGACTTTCATAAACAGCTGAATTGTAAAAAATATTGATTTGCAAATCAGCATAAACATGTGATTAACTTTTCAACACAGATTCGTATAATTAACAAGTGTCTCATATTTTATGGTATCGAGAGTGATTTCCATATGGTAACCTCGTTAACATATGTAAATATAAATATAATTTATTAATATTCTCATTTTTGGCAAATAATAAAGTTTGCACATTATACAGCATCGGTTTAGTATAATGCTTAAGTTACTCAAAAGGTATGTGTAATTGCAATTTTAGACCTAAACCGGGGGGTAAGTTGTAAACATTTCTTGGTTATTGTAACTCCTGAAAGTTATCATGTGGTTTTCATGTTTATAGGACTCCACTCTATAGCCGAATCAAAACCACATATACGAGGAGGTACCCAAAAATAACCGGAATAGAATTGCAGTGGGCGGAGCTTGTGTAGTACACATTTCTGCCCTTAGAGGCGTACAGCGCAACTCATTACCAGTTCAGTGCCACCTGAGTTGTCGATCTGACTTGTTTCGTTCCTCTGTAGTCATTATTTCTGCTAGCGCTGTATCGTGCTTGTTTCGTTTTTTACGATGGCAAGCTTCAGTGAGCATGCGGAAAGCTGTGAAATTATGCTTTCTAAAAATGCTGCTGAAACTGTGTTAATGTTGAAAATAGCTTACAAAGATGATGCTATGGAAAAATCTCAGGTGTACTAGTGGTTTGCTCGATTTAAAAATGGCGACATGTCGACTGATGACAAACCTCGCTCTGGACGTCCATCAACTGCCCGAATCGACGAAAATGTTGAAAACATTCGAGACCTTGTGCTATTTGGATGTTTTAAGACGATTGCGAAACAGCAAAAAAGATCCGATTTGTGGCAAACAGGAGACTGGTTCTTCCACCATGATAATGCACCTGCGCACACAGCCATCTCTGTTCGACAGTTTCTGGCTAAAAATGGCATGATTCCGCTGCCTCACGCACCTTATTCGCCTGACCTGGCTCCGTACGACTTTTTCTTATTTTCACGGATGAAAAGATGCATGAAAAGACGCCGCTTTGACAACATGGAAGAGGTCAAGGAAAAAACGATGGGGGAGCTGTCAAACATTTCTAAGAAAAAAAATGTTTCGAGCACCGGTGGGTCAAGTGTATTAGTTGCAGTGGACAGTATTTTGAAGGAGATAAGGTTACTTTGTGAAAAAGTTGAAAATAAATAGCTTTTAAAAAATAATTCCGGCTTTTTTTGGGTACCCCTCGTGTGTTTAGATTTCACTTTATTGTACGACGTCTCGGCCACCATTGTGGTCTTTTTCAAGTACAATTGATACCTGTGACAATAGATTTTGTCTTCTAAAATATATTATGGTCGAAACGTCGTACAGTAAGTTGTAATCTGAACACATATGTGGTTTTGAATTGGCTAGACAATAGAGTCCTATTACTTGGTTGTTTACAATCTGCGAGGATTTAAAGCCATTTTCCAATGCTTTCCCGATTATTGAAATACTCAAGAAGAGTAGCTATATGACGATACCTAGTATTAGCTATTTCTCACTTGTGTTGATAATGATGTTATTGCAAGACTCTGAGCTTACTAGACAGACTTAGATTGCTGCTTTATGTACGCTCAGATGCAAGCTGGTGTTCTCTCTACAAAAATGTCCAACAAGGTAGACAATTTATTACTAGAGTGTCAAGGATATCTATATCGATATTTTTGGATTCCATTCAAAACTCGTTTCAACATAACAGGACGATACATTACTAGTTAAGGATACCTTTTCTGGTTTCTTCTACAGGGTGCGACAGCATAACTTTCTTTGTTCAAAACTTAATAAAACCTATTGTATGGATCGGAACATTAATTTGTTTTTTATAATGGAGACACCTGCCTATAGTTGTGCTTTACATAGTTTTGAAGATCAAATCAGATAGGTGACGTGTCTCATTTTCCATACACTGAGTAAATAAATTTTTGGCATTTGTTGGCATAGCAGGCGTTATGTTAGCTATTTCTTCTTGCATGTTGGTCTTCAAATCTGGTAGGGTCCTTGGATGGTTTGAAAACACCCATAGCAAAAGTCACAATGTGAGAAATCAGGAAAGCGGGCTGGCCACTCCAAATCGCCCCCAATTGAGATGAAGCGTTCTGGGAAGTGTTCCCTCAAAACAGCCATCGATGCTGTCCCCTATATGCCCAACTATCTATCCGTGGGAAAAAAAATTCCTGTAAGATGTTTCCGAATTCACTGTCACTGCGGCTTCATTTTCCTCAAAGAACCAGGGACCAATAGTTCCAGCTGAGGCAACTACACAACACACTGTAACTTTAGGTGAATGCAAAGGCCTGTGTAGTTCTCGATGATCGGTATCAGCCCAGTCGCGCATGTTTTGTTTGCTAATGGATCCATGCAAATCAACACGGGCTTCACCACTTAAAAAACAATAATATTCCCAGGAATGACTTTGAGAAGTCGCTAACACGCATTCATCCGAGAATTGAAGTCTCGTTCCGAAAGTTCCTCCACAATTGTCATTTTTTAAGGATGGAAATGAAGAACATCATGAATAATTCTCGTCACAGGACGATCGGACAGTCCAAGGGCAGTCGCATGTGCAGGACACCGTAGAGATTGCAACATTGAAACTCTTACTGCCTCAATGTTTTCAGGTGATCTAATAGACCGAAAGACTCCAGATTTCCGTATTGTCGCACTTGCAGTTTATCTGAACGTAACCCACGTAACAATTGATTTCCAGTCCGAGACAGAGGCCAACTCTGTGAACTCGTTTTGTACTTGTACGTGTTGCCTTAACGTCATGAGGCTTCAGTTATCAATGGTTGGCTCTGGTGTGATGTGAAATCTGCTTTAGAGATGGCATATTTAAGATTCAAAGCTAGAAATCAGTTGCGCATCCACTTTTTCTTATCCATTCTGGAAATTTCAAAATGCAAATTTGCTGAATATCAAAAATGAAAGAGATAAAACATAATTATATTCACTGTACACTGTCGAATTACAAGCCACATACAAAAACGTAAAAAATCGTAATTTATAAATTTGAACATTCAGAAAGGACAACATATAAATAACCCGTCGGGCACAGCTAATACATATACTTCATTGGCAGCATGTTCAGTAATGATTTTCTCAGACAGCAAATATCACTGATTTTATACACATGCAGACCTATACACAATATCTTCCAGATGCGATCTTGCCATTCAACCAACAAGAGATGAAAACTATAGACTACTCTTGCTCACAAAACATATGCAACCAACAATGCATTTAGTTGAGCCACTCCTCCATAGATGGACGCTCACAGCGATCCTAGTGAGCAAACGTGGAATGACTGTTTGAACCCTAAAAACTGCCTAGTCTAGTCTGCAAGATGACATGTTATAAGTTTTTTTGATGTTTTACAGGTTTTTTACATAATACCCGGGCGGAGCTCATTTAAAGCGATTCCCAAAGGCGCGCTGGATTGCGATCACAGAACATCCGCTCAAAAAGTAGAACTCAAGGACAAAAGCTCGCTCCTCACTTTTTCAACACATGATGGTGTCTGAACTGTGTCGGGACAAAACTTTATAGTTCCGCCTCTCAACTAGCGCTCCGCTACGACATCAACCGCCTGAATGACGCGCATTTTACAAAAGGAAGTTATGCTGCCGCACCCTATATAGTACTTCCAAGGACTTTGTCAACATCAAAAGCCTCTGAAATGATATATAAGTCCAGCTCCTATGTAAATGTTCTACTGTTATATAACAAAAAAATTTCCACGACTTCTGTGTCTTCAGCTTCTACATTTACGAGCTAATGAAATGATGTAAATTAGATTTTTTATGACAAAAGGAGGTCTAAAGCTTTTATAAATAAGAGTCATTTATGTCTAGATATTCTAGTATTACATATTTTTTTCAGCCACAGGTATTTTATCGGTTATTAAAATTCATTTAATGAATGTGATCTAGTTCTATAAACGAAACTAGTTGTACCTGGCTCTTTCTTTCCAGTTGAGTTCGTCACCCTCCTTGACAAGTTCTTCCATTTCTGAGAACAGTGGGTGACTTTCATGTTTCTCATCACCGTTGTCTTCTCCCAGGATGAACTGAACCCTTTGTGATGGTGGTGTACCTATAAAAAAAGATAAAACTTTAGAATTTCAGAAGAAACAGCAATAATTTCAGTTATCTACTAGTCTACCAGAAAAGGCATGTGCGGCAATGTGCTGACGAATCAAACGAAAAAGATGGAAATAGAGTTATTGTATCTAATATTAACAGATAATATCTTTAGGAATATAGGTGCTCCTATAGGTAACATACAGGGTGCCCCAATGACAATGGAAAGTAGTTTTATGAGCAAACTGGAAAGGATATCAAAAGGCAGCAGCGGTGGCCGCAGTAGCAGACTCTTCGGTCTCCTGATCAGTCGCCGTGCGCTGTGCGGGTTCGAGTCCCGTCCCAGGAGAAATTTTTCTCTTGGCTATGGATGTTGTGATTGTCCGTAGGTGGTAGACGGTCTCTGACTGTCGAACGCGGAGGTACCACCCGGCGGATCTCGTAGGCGGAGCCAGAATGTGTGCATGTTGCATGCACACGTGTTCCCTCGCCAGAGTCCTTGCAAAGCACACAAGGCTAGACGCCAGTTAAAATTATCTTGCACGTCTAAAAGTGTTTTTCTAGGTATACGTTTGATGTCCTTGGGTGTTATAGGTTTCTCCTGTTAGACCTCTCCTTTTACATTGCTCCAGAGAAAGAAGTCAAGAGGCGACATATCAGGAGATGTCGCTGACCAGTTGATCGATCCGCCTCTCCCTATCCAACTATTAGGGCGCGGGCAGTCTAGATAGGTACCTACTCCCGTACCGCTCGATGGTAATGGGGTGGGACACCGTCATGCTGGTACCTAAAGGACCCGGCAACTCGCCTATGGGAAAAGTGGTTTCGGCTAAATTCGCTGAATTTTTTATATGTTATGCGTCTTGGCATCCCGAACATATGTTTCAATGGGCACAGGCCCCTAACCTCCACGGGTCCCAAGATATAGGACGTCCAAGTTGGTATAATGGGGTTCTACTCAAATATTTGCTTTAAATGGAAGAGTGGTTTCGGTCTGAGTCAGTATAATGGAGTAATTAGTCCTTATCGAATATCTGCTTCAGGTGAAAGAGTGGTTTCTGTTAATTTCGCCAAGTTTTTTATATGTTATGTGCCTCGGCATCCTAAAATAAATGCCTTAATGGACACAGGCCCCAAAACTCAACGAATTCCATGATATAGGGCGTCCAAGTCGGTATAATCTATTGGGTAGTATTGGGTAATGGGGATATATGCTTTAAGTGGAATAGTGGTTTCGGTTAATTCCGCTAAATTTTTTATACGTTATGTGACTCGGAATCCTGAACAAATACCTCAATGGACAGAGGCCCCAAAACTCAACGGGCCCTAAGATTTAGGCTGTCCAAGTCATAATGAGATTACGGTTCTAGTCGAATATCTGATTCAAGATAAAGAGCGGTTTCTGTTAATTTCGCTGACTTTTTTATACGTTATGTGACTCGGCGTTATGAACAAATGCCCTAATAGGCAGAGGCCCCAAGACTTAATGGGTCCCAAGATATAGGGCGAGATTTTGTGGTAACCACAAAAGTTATTACCTCCAATGACCGGAATGCAAGACTCATGTAAATTATTGAATTGAGCTTTTGATATCGAAGTAAGATAATTACAATTTTCATCAGTCAAATTTTTTACAGTCGATTTTCTTGATCGTGTAAAAAATCTACTGAGTTCTATATAAAAGTTCCTCAAACGAAATCCTTTTTCCAAAGAGGTACTGTGAACAGATCTGAGATGCTTGAGGGACGTAAATTTTATTCTCCAAATATATTTAAACGCGAGCCTCGATACTAAGCCGGTGCAAATGTATACTCAGGTGATTACATATCATACATGTTTCAGAGGATTTTTGTCTAAGGACATTCAATCTAAGACTTTCGGGATTTGGCAAGGCCGCTTCGAAGTAATAAATCACAGTTAAAACAAACACGTGATATATCGCTTATCAAAAAAGCAGAGTGGTTCAGCTCCTCTCAGTACCTCATAGCAATCTCCACTTTTGGATTACTGATGTCGCATGGTACAAATAGCGAAAACTTCATTACACACATAACATGGCATGCGCTGCGTCGTGCTCGCTGCTATAGTATAAAATGAAGGCTGCACTGCTCACAATTAAAACTACACGTAATGCTAAAAATAACGAAATTAAAACAGTACGAAAAATCAAAACGAAAACGGAAAATGGAAAACGAAAAACGAGAGACCAAAAATGAAACACGATTAACGATAAACGAAATATGAGAAACGATCAACAAAAAGTATATAATGCAATGGAAAACTAAACAGAAAATGCTTGCGCAGTACTCAGTACCTAATTGTAGATTGCAACAAGTAACGAATAACCTAAAAATGTCCTCTCATAACAACGTATTCGATCAATGTGCGGCTGCGCGTGTAGCAGTCTCCCTTAAATAGAAAAACACACAAGGAGCTGTCACTGTCATCATTCTTGTTGAGTCGTAGAAGGGTTTATTTCTGGTCGTATCCGGTTAACAGATTTGTCGGCCTACCTGCTACTAACTTCATTGAGTCTAATTCTTCCAACCTCAATGGAAAAGAGATGTGGTTCCAGTTATATGTGATCTTTGAGACATTTGTTCAGGATGACGCGATATATGAGATTTCAAAGATTATTCATATCATATTAACCGAAACCACTCTTCTAGATAGAGCAGATAGCTGAGTAAATATATGTTGGAATACTGAGTTTTGGGGCCTGAGGCCATCAAGGCATTTGTTCAGGATGCCGAGACACATAACATATAAAAAATTCAGCGAAATTAAACGAAACCACTCTTGCACTTAAAGCATATATTCCACTATAACCAATAGATTACACTAACTTGGACGCCCTATATCTTGGGTCCCGTTAAGTTTTGGGGTCTCTGCCCATTAAGGCATTTGTTCACGTAGCATATGAAAAATTTAGCAAAATAAACCAAAACCACTCTTTCACTTGAACCAGAGATATCTGAGATGAACCGATACCCCATTATATTGACTTGGACGCCCTATATCTTGGGACCCGTTGAGTTTTGGGGCCTGTGCCCATCGCGCCATTTATTCAGGACGTCAAGATACAACATATAAAAAATTCAGCGGAATTAACCTAAACCACTCTTTCACTTAAAGCTGGTATTCCAGTATAACCAATAGATTATACCGATTTGGACGCTCTATATCATGGAACCCGTTGGGTTTTGGGGCCTGTGTCCATTAAGGCATTTGTTTAGGATGCAGAGGCACATAACATATTAAAAAACTGGGCGAAACCACTCTTTCTCCATTATACTGACTCAGACGGCCTATATCTTGGGACCCGTTGAGGTTGGGGGCCTGTGGCCATTGAAACAATTTTTCAGGATGCCAAGGCGCATAACATATCAAAAATTCAGCGAAATTAACCGAAACCACTTTTCCCGTAGGCGTGTTGCCCGGTCTTTTCTCCTAGTTAATAAGTTTACATTCACTACTGAAACAGCGTGGTCGTGAAAAAATACTGGGCCTGAGATCAAACTTCTGGGAATCAACAGAACTACTTGGAATGCATTATAACAGTTTCATAATGAATTACTGTTTTGGGTTAAGATGAGTATTCTTGTGCGAAAAACACTTCTTTGTTTTCATGGAGGATCAGATTTTAAGTCTAAATAGGGAATATATTTTTTTTCTTGGAATTAATAGCAATAACTCGAAAACTGTTCGAAGAAAGTGGTATACGCCACAACAAAAAAGTTTCCAAGGAAAGCTATTTAATAATGTAGAAATATACATGGTGTTTCATTTGAAATTTACTTACTTTACGCTTTAAGATATCCTGTATAAATAAAAAGATATTTTAGCATCTATTTCAGATCAGCTTAAAATCGATGATGATAATTTTTTTGTGAAGTAAAGCTCATCTAAATATTTTCAAAAATAACGGAGCTGCGAGCCGTCAAAGTTGGCCACTTTTTCAGACATTTCACTAAATATCTACACAATTGGCAATCGAAACCATATGTAATATGATATAAAATTGCTTGTTTATAGAAGCTCTATGCAAATATGCAACAAAATATAGGGCAATCTGTTTAAAAGATACGTGAACTATGGCACGAAGTTATGAAACACCCAGTATATATTAAAATAGTTTTAAAATATACACCAATAACATATCAAGGTTACCACTCATAAAACTACTTTCCATTTTTGTTGCGACAACCTGTATGTGGGATACGAATGATGTAAAAGCATCTACAATCTGTCAGAATAAAGATCACATATATGTATGTGAAACTCCCTTCGCAGTTGCTGAATATAAGAAATTTTACGTAAACTAAAAAATACAAAAAAAATTAAAGCTGTACAATATTCAAGATCGTGCTTTAGCCTAGTCGTAAGGAATTTCCAAAAGCTGAAGCAATGAAGAAATAAATCATAATGAAAAATAAAATAAATACTAGAAGGAATAAAGAAATAAGAAAAAAAACAAGGTGGCTATCATAAAATATAATCACTATCCAAAGTTCCGTGCTCTACCTTGGCCGTGAACATACCGTGCATATTTAATTTACTAGCACCGTTGTTAATTTTTCTAATTAAATTAGAAGGAATTGGTTTCTTCAAAGTTTATTAATTCTTTGACATATTGAACAAAAAAGTTCCATAGGGCCGTATCGTCAGTCGTCCTTACAATTCTAGGACGCCTTTATGGCCTCCTTGATTTTCATAGCCTTTTCTCCCCTTCAGACAGGCTGGGTAATTTCTAGATTTCTACTGTTCAGCACTCGCCTATTGTGAGGCTATGTTTTCTTTTTGAATTGTAGGAAATGTCAGGCTGATATAACAGATGATATAAATCAAAAGTATGAACAATTTGATGCAAACAGGTATTTGTGACATAACCTCAAAATAGAGGCTAACTCGAAACAGTAGAAAACTGAGGAAATACCCTGAGGGTCGTAACGTCAGTCGTTCCTACAATAATTGTAGGAAGCCTTTATGACCTCCTTGACTTCCACATTTTTC